AGCCTCTTTAAAAGGCAAAGAGAGATTCTTCACCAGCATTCTGAGCCCTTGAGGTTTATTGTTGCAGACATTGCCTGCCTCCATGTGTCTCTGTGATGGGCCTTCTCTTCCCAGTTAGTGCTTCCAAGTGTTTGTAGGTCTGCCTGCATACTACCTGCCTGTCTCTTCTAGGTTTTATAATTGTCTTACTACTCCATTCATTCCCTCTAGAGACAAATGTCTATCACTCCTTTGTTTCAAGGACATTAGGACACTTGCCTGGAAACATGAACAGAGAAGTCTGGTGGTAAGATATCACTTATGTGCACTGTAAGACAGATCAGTTCTTATTTATCACAAGGAAAATGAGAAGAGAAGCATGAGAGGGCAAGTGCAAAAACTAGATCTTACACTTTCATCTTTGCCACAAGGAGCTCCTAATATTGCTACAGCTGGTACATCTCACAGTCCATACACATGATTATGAAATTATATGTACGCTGAATACAACACTTTGACGTAAATGTTCTTAAAAAAAAATTGCAGAAATGTAGCTGAATCAATTCAACATAAAATGTTGGCAATACACTATTGTAAATCACCAAAATAACCCACTGCAAGCACACTTAGAGATATCTCAGGTGAACAAGAAGAGGAGAGAGGAAATACTACTAAAGCGCTGCAGAACTATGACAACATACACATTTCATAACACACACCTTATATCAGGTACAACTCATATCACAGACAGCACATATCACAAACAACACATAACATAGACACAACTCGCAGCACACACATCACATACACCTCATATCACACACAATACATAACACAAGGGACCAGTAGTCTTGTAGTGTATCATCATGCTTACCAGAATACTGGTTGTTTGTGAATATCTGCTTTGTTCCTACTCACTCCTTTGACGTTTGGTTTCACATTCAGCACATTGTGTTCCCTGTATATACAACAGTATTGTACAGTCCAGTTATGTTTGTTGCCACAAACATATTAATTACAAATTTAGGTATGCATATATTTCTCCTGCATCTCATTAATAATAATTTTGTGAATACTATTTCTACAATTTCTCTTATATATTTTCAAACCAGTTTTTTTTGGTGTTCATGAAAACTCAAGCTAACATTAATTTGTTTCATGCTTAACTGTGACTGGCAACTCTTATACATTAAACAAAAAATCTGTGTTAATTCAAAGCCCGCTTTTTCATTTTTTTTTCTCCCAGATCTTTTATCTGTATATGTTATCCTGTAAGGTGCAATTTATATTAAAGCAGTGAGTGGATGATGCATTTCATTTTATTTTATTGTGTTTTTCTTGAATAATTATCAACTACTGCATGCCTATTGTTTAACTCTTTGAGTCCCAGGGGGTTTAGCATCACAGGCCCAGTTGTAAAGAAAGTAATAAAATTGGCGCATCATGAATTCATTGGGCTTGTAAGCAGAAACCTATGAACGTATGATGCGTTCCTTGGGACTCAAAGAGTTAATTTTCTTTGGTGTTCTTTGTTTTTGGTTTTTCTCAATCTTATTACAGTATAATCATTATGATGCAAATTAAACAACATTCTGACCTTGATTATAGATTTGTTTATTTTTAGCTCTTTAATTACCATCCAGTAATTACTGAATTCACTGGTTCCCAATTAGCGAAGATTTACGGACTACTCTTGTTTTCAAAGGTCTACCAAGGACCCTAAGCTACCATGACCCCCAGCCTACCATAGACCCCAGCCTACCATAGACCCTAGTCTACCATATACCCAAGTCCTCCAAGAACCCCAGTCTACCATATACCCTAGTCTACCATATACCCGAGTCCTCAAAGGACCCCAGTCTACCATAGACCCTAGTCTACCATATACCCGTCCTCCAAGAACCCCAGTCTACCATAGACCTAGTCTACCATAGACAGCTACTATAGACCCTAGTCTACGATCGGCCCCAGTCTACCATAGACCCCAGCCTACCATAGACCCTAGTCTACCATATAAAAGGTAACGGTAAAGTCGAGAGATGTGAACCAGCAACATTGCACATGGTTATAAACTATAAGTGCTCTGCCACCAGTATGAACAGCTGATAAGAAACTGTCTGCCTGTGTTGCCGACCGCACGTAACTCTGTAGCTACAGTGACGTTCCTCCATTTATCTCAGAGTGTTAACCGTGGACTGCAGCAAGATGCAGCATGATTTGAAAGTGAGTCTCTTATCGACAGCGTTAACACGGCCCCCTAGTCTGCCATATACCAAAGTCTACAAGGAACCCCGGCCTACCAAGGACCCCAGCCTACCAAGGACCCCAGTTTTCCATGGACCCCAGTCTACAAGGGACCCCAGCCTATGAAGGACCCCAGCCTACCAAGGACCCCAGTTTTCCATGGACCCCAGTCTACCAAGGATCCCAGTCTTCCAAGGACTCCAGTCTACTATGGACCCCAGTCTTCCATGAATCCTAGTCTACCAAGGATCCCAGTTTCTACAATGGATCTCAATTTACCACAGATCCCAGTCTACCAAGGGCCCCAGTTTTCCATAGACCCCAGTCTACCATGGATCCTAGTCTACCATAGACCCCAGTCTACCATGGATTTAAATCTCCCATGGACCCTAGTCTACCATGGAATCTTGGTCTACCATAGGCCCCAGTCTACAGTGGACCCCAGTCTACCAAGAACCCCAGTCTACCAAGAACCCCAGACTACCATAAACATAAGTCTACCATGGATCCCAGTCTTCCATGCACCCCAGTCTACAGTAGACCCAGTCTGCCATTTACTCCAGTCTACCATGGATCCTAGTCTACCATAGACCCCAGTCTACCATAGACTCTTGGTCTACCATAGGCCCCAGCCTACCATAGACCATAGTCTACTGACCCGAGTCTACCAAGGATGGACCCCAGTCTACCATGGACTCCAGCCTTCAATGTTTCCCAGTCTACCATGGATCTCAGTCTACCCTAGTCTACCATAGGCCAGAGTCTACTACCATAGAGCCCAACCTACCATAGATCCTAGTATACCAAAAACCTGAGTCTACCAAGGACCCCAGTCTTCTATGAACCCTGTTGCTACCATGGACACCAGCCTACCATGGACCCCAGTCTACTATGCATCTCAGTCTGCTATTGACCTCAGTCTACCATGGACCCCAGCCTACCATGGATCTGAGTCTACCAAGGACCCTAGTCTACCATGGACCCAGTCTTCTATGAACCATGTTGCTACCGTGGACCCCAGCCTACCATGGACCCCAGTCTACTATGCATCTCAGTCTGCTATGGACCCCAGTCTACCGTGGACCCCAGCCTACCATGGATCTCAGTCTACCAAGGACCCCAGTCTACCATGGACCCAGTCTTCTATGAACCCTGTTGCTACCGTGGACCCCAGCCTACCGTGGACCCCAGTCTACTTTACATCTGTCTGCTATGGACCCCAGTCTACCATGGACCCCAGCCTACCATGGATCTCAGTCTACCATGGACCTCAGTCTACCATGGATCCTAGTCTTCCATGGACCCCAGTCTTCAATGGACCCCAGCCTACCATGGACCTCAGACTACCATGGATCCCAGTCTACCATGGACCCCAGTCTACTGTGGATCATAGTCTTCCATGGACCTCAGTCTACAATGAACCCCAGTCTACCATAGACCTCCGCCTACCATAGACCCCAGCCTACCATGGATCTCAGTCTACCAATGAACCCCAGTCTACCTTGTCCATAGTCTCTTATGGACCCCAGCCTACTGTGGACCCCAGCCTACCATGGACCCCAGTCTACCATGGACCCTAGTCTACCATGGATCTCAGTTTACAATAGACCTCAGTCTACCAAGGACTCCAGTCCACCATAGATCCTAGCCTACCATAGACCCGAGCCTACCGTAGATCTCAGTCTACCAGGGTCTACCTTGTCCCCAGTCTGTCATAGACCCCAATCTACCGTGAACTGTCGGTCTACCACAGACCCCAGCCTATCATGGATCTCAGTCTACCATGGACCCCAGTTTACCTGAGTCTGCCATGGACCCCAGTCTATCATTGACCCAAGTCTACCAATGGATCCCAGTCTACCATGGACTCTTGGTCTACCATAAACCCCAACCTATCGTGGACAGCCTACCATGGACCCCAGTCTACCATCTAACCCATACTGTTTAACAGTCATAATTTACAAATATAAGACAACGAACAACCCGGAAAGGCACTCTGTAGGGTGACATACAACAGAATGAAGACGTCAATAGACAAAGTTTTGTCGCAAAATCAGGCAGGATGCAGAAAATGAGGAAACTGCTGAAACGGCCTTTGGCAGTCTAAATCAGCGGTTCTGAACCTGCGGGTCGCGACACTCTTTTGGGTCGAACGACCCTTTTACACATATTCATTGAAGTTATGAAGAAAAATAATATTTTGGGGGTCGTCACAACATTAGGGAACTGTATTAAAGGGTCGCGGCATTAGGAGGGTTGAGAGCCACTGATCTAGGTAGAACAATGATGTGGAGGATTTTTGCTGCATATTGGTTACCAGACAAAGTTATAAGCATATTTAAAAGACCCTATAAAGGATACCAATGCAAAGGGAAAGTATGACTCATGGAAACGGAATACTTCAGGGTAACATCAGGAGTCCGACAAGGGTGCATTCTGTCAACTTTCTTGTTTCTCATGTTACGAAGAAAGCAACCACAGGCACATGGACGGGCCTTCAATGGAACCTGCTCGAACATCTTGGACTTTGCAGATATCTGTGTCATCAGCAAAAGTAAAGAACATCCACAACAAAAGACAGATAAATGGTCCTTGTATAATTTATAGAAAGTAGAACGCTGAGTAAACTATTCATAGAATGATCACATGACCACACAACACAGTAACCGAGTCAGGTGACAGACTGTTGTTGTTCATCTGAGAGAGGTCTGCACACGGACGAGCTGCTTGCAAGTTACGGCTAGAGTAACCTGGTGACTAGCGGAGGAGGCAGGAGAATGGCAGCACATTTCTGGAGTCTAGCATGGCTACTTTCTTTCCTTACTTATGCTCACTGCGATCTCTATCAAGTGAATGACCAGATTGGAGTCGGGCGTCGCTTTGACGGTATTGGTGGCTTGAGCGGCGGCTCCGTAAGTTATCACAACGCAGTCCGTGAAAATTTCTAAGTCATTATGAACACGTATTTATGGCGGGAATACAAATCTACGGCAGTTAAAAAAAAAAAAAAACACACACACACACACACAGTAAATCACAAGTTAGGATGGTAAATGCAATAACTGTTTCACGATTAATACTAAAGATAAAGCGACTATTTTAAAGTTTCAATCACAAGGAAAATCTTAAAAATATTTGGCTATCCTCCGAATAACGGTCCTAAATTATCAAGGTGGAAAATATACCCTAACAGGGCCTCAGTCACGTGTCAGTTGCGCACTTCCGGGGACTATAACGCCACCGCCGAATTGCAAACTTCTGGCGACTTCCGCCACCACCGAGAGTATCCCCCAAGTGTGAGTCCCAGCCATCTGGTTTAGCTCCAATCCACACCGTGTGAGCGGCACGGTGGATACTCATGGCTGTGGCCGAAGTCGCTGGAAGTGCGCAATTTAAGATGACGGACGTGCGTAATTGACACATGACTAAGGCCCTGTTAGGGTGTATTTTCCGCCTCGATAATTTAGGACCGTTATTCGGAGGATAGCCAAATATTGGCTCTCCTCCGATCTTCAACCCGATATTATGGCGGCCATAAAATATCCTTTCGGGGCTCAGGCATATGTAAAATGCAGACTTTCTGCCAAGGAACAAATCGCGGCAAAACTAGGATTACTTGACAATTTCAAGAGACGCAACATTGCAGACGATAGTAGCAGACGATAATAGCGACCGTTGACAATTTCGAGCGTTTCTGCAGACGATAGTAGCATGCGCAAAACGCAAATAAACTCCGCGGCGCGGATGGGGAGCTAAACTAGGTGCCTGGGACTCACAAGCAAATTATTTGGAGGAAGTTGCAGGAGATGCGGTAGCTGCTGGGTGTGAGTCCCAGCCATCTAGTTTAGCCCCCATCCACGCAGCGCGTATTGGTGCGGGGATACGGTCGGCGGTGAGGCATAGTCACAGAAACAGGTCTGCAAGTAACATATCGCTGAGACCCTGTTAGAGCATTTGTTTCGTTATACGGAGCCGGCATATTTTTAATAGAACTGAGCCCCGTAAGGATATTTAATGGCCGCCATAATATCGGGTTGAAGTTCAGAGGAGAGCCCAAATATTTTATACAAATGGTCATTAAATTATTTAAAACAAAACAAACCTTTTTATGTATGCCATCTCCACAATTGTAGTTGCCACAGTCATACAAAATGTTCTTCACTGTCCTATTTGAAAAGTGAAAAACATGTCAGTCCTAGCATAATCTTGAAGCTTAGCACTTGCATGTGCAAAGTAAATGAATAAGGCAGCTGTCAGATGTGCCAGGAAAAACAGTCCCACCCCAGAATTGCAGCTCATTGTTGATGCAAGCAGTCAGTTACAAAAGCCAGCACTATACACACAGAACTGCATAAGTACACGTCTTTCGAAACAAATTGGACCTGCTGCTGTTATTAGTGCAGTCAGTTCACAACACAAAGCCATCACGAGCATAATAGAAAAAACAAAGGCTATCCTCCGAATAACGATCCCAAATTATCGAGGCTTATATGTGACTGAGGCCCTGTTAGGGTATATTTTCGGCCTCAATAATTTGGAACCGTTATTTAGAGGATAGCCAAAACAAACATTTTACATGGAATCCACAGCTCTTAGTTGTGAATTTTATGTGGAATTTTTTGTTGTTGTTTTTTTTATGTGCATGTAATGGTTTTGTGTTGTAAACTGACATTTCATTGCTTATCTGGCATGGTAAAGTGATTAATAGGAAATTGTCTGGGAGATAATGGGGGGACTGGGGGTATTAACCGTATCATCCATTGAGTAATATTTGGTCCGAAATTAAGTGAATGACTAAAGGACCCCCTTCATGTCTTTTGACACATCAGTGCCAGACCTGTGATTGTGTAGACCAATGGCACTTGATAGATGATATGATTAACATTATGCCAGCTGCCTTTGCTTCCCAAGACATTACGTGGTGCCCAATATAAGCTTGGTGGACATGTAAGGACAGTTCTGGAACAAAATCAGGACCCTACATCTTCATGCCCATAAGTGAACGTCTAGCCATTACACTGCCGTGACTCTCTCAGAAAATAAGGGTCTACAGAATATCTATGATATGCAAGGATTGCCTAGAAACACAATTCTTTTACCTTTGAATCTTTTGCTGGTTACTTTATGACTAATTCAGAAACAAATATTGAGTTTATCATTAAATAAACTATATAATTTTTTTTAATTCATTACGGGAAAACTTTGTTTTGAATATATAATTTATGTATGATTTCCTTTTAAGGCAACATCGAAGCTGCTTATTGCATATCCTGACCAACAGAGAAATGAAATCTTAGACTATTTATTTAAAGTAGGTGCAACATTTCTCTTTTGTGTTGAATTAAATTTATGTAAATGGAGATGCCTCATGGATATGTGAACAATGCAGGTTATCATTTTTTCATTCATATTATCATTTTTTTCCATTCAGATTATCAAAAATGACTACCAAAATTGCACACTGCACAGTCCATAGGTGCTTAGATCTTCTCCTTGGATGTTTGCTATTTATTAAAAAACTGAAAAACATAATGACAATAAGATAATGGGAGGGGAGAGAGGTGAGGAAGGTCAAGTGAGAAGATGTTGAATGGTTTGAAATCAAGGCATAGAAGAAAACTTGTGTGAGAAATAATTAGCAGTACATGAGACAGAAAGAAGATATGGAAGACATGATAACCAGAACCACATGATGTAAGCAATAAGAAAAACACATTCTTGATCACTCAGACTCACCCAAATTGGCCTGCAGCTTACTTTGTAACTGTTGGGTGCCCTAATATAACTGTAGTGTAGGGTTGAACAGTTATCATATGGTGTATATATTAAAAGTATGAACAGTTTTGAGTTAATGTAGTTGTTTTAAAACATGTCATACTCATGTTTTTTAGTCCAAAGAGTAGAAAAATAATTTAAATTTCAAAGATGATATAATCTAATTCATTCTACCGATTTTATACCATATGGCTTCCAACGGATTTTTTACTATATGGCTTTCACCAAATTTTATACTATATGGCTTTCACAGATTTTTATAACCATATGGCTTCCACCAGATTTTATAACATATGGCTTCCACCGGATTTTATACCATATGGCTTCCACTGGATTTTATACCATATGACTTCCACTAGATTTTATACCAAAGAAAAACACCATCCGGTAATCTCGTGCAGCAGGGTACCAGCCCTGAGCTTCATGAACTCAGGTGGGCCCACCTCCGAAAGTGTCTAGGAGAATCAACGAGGATAACTTCTACTGATGACTGGTAGATCCCTGCTGTACTTGCTCCCTGTGAGTTTATTCCTATTACCTATGGCTTCCACCAGATTTTATGCCATATGGCTTCCACTGGATTTTATGCCATGTGGCTTAGTCTGTCTTTCCAAATAAATTGACTGCCTGTCAGGAGAACAAACAAAATACCAACCATTAGGCTTTAGTGATATCCCCATGAATCTGTGAAATAATTTCACCCATGAACTTGATGGCAGAATACAAAAAAAAAAAAAAGCTCATACATCCACATGACTTAACCATTTTGCTGCAAAGATCCCCTTAAAGGTAATTTGGCCTTATCTTAAATAATAACAAAAATTATACCTTCATGTCCAATGCAATTTTTGCCCTGGTTTCATGTAACTATGAAGTTTGATATAACACACACTATATATTGTTTATTCTGTAGCCCAAATTTGGAGCATCGCTGCAGATACTGAAAGTGGAGATTGGTGGAGATGCTCAAGCTTCAGGTATCTTTTCTGGCCTTGTCTATACATAGTTTTACTTTATTTGTGCTGCTTCTTTTAGATCAGCAGCTTTCACCCTATGGGTCCTGACGGGGGGGGGGGGGGGGGGGGGGGGGGGGGGTGTCAAACGACCTAAGACCATCTGAAAATACATTTTCACTAAAGTTATGAAGTAGCAACAACAAAATGTATGTTTGGAGTTCACCACAGAATGAGGATTAAAGGATTAAGGCATTAGGAAGGTTTAGAACCACTGTTTTAGATGTGTACACAGGTTCAGTATAATTATGACCAGCAGAGTAAGGAGTTGATTTAAACTATCATATTCCTCAAGTGAAATATATTTGCTACTTTACACAAGCTCATAGAATATTTTATAATTGGAGCTCATAGTATGAGCTAAAACACACAGAGAAAGGAACTAGAGAGTAAAATACTTCATAGACGCGTGTGAAGCCAGATAAAGAGTTTTTCTTCCTCTTATAGTCCATGCTGTGTGACACTGGTAGTCTTGTGTATCCACAACCTTCTGAGCAAACCTTCAGGTGGTAGCCAGAATGGGAACACGTGGAAACAAGAGGATGTTAGTTACCAAATGAATCTGTACTCATCATCATCCTCATCATCGTAAACCACTTCTCCCGTCGAGTGTCGTGGGAAGGAATAATTTGCGATCTAGAGTACGCTGGTTGGCATGGGCTATTGTCATGCCATGAAGGCAAAAATGTCTTTATTGTTGTCATTTCATGTTTTTCATAGCTGTTTTCTTGCTTTTGTAGCTAATTTCTGAGAAGTAGTGCTTGGGATTGTTTTTGATGTTGTTGCATTCTAAAGAGATAGCCAAACCACTTAATCTACTTACTGTTTCTCGATAATTCTAGTACATGCTATCATTTCCACAATCTGTATGATTATATCATTCATTATTCATTTGATCTTGGATGGTTGGGTTGGTGCTTTTTCTCAGGCATTTCAATGCCATATTAAAATTCTTCCATACGCACTTTTGCTAATACATCATGTATGTATTGTATAGTTAACAATTTTCTTCTGATTTAAACGTTGTCTATTGCTCTGATAATAGCTCACCATTATTATTGCTGATGATCACAGACAACAGTGATGTTATTTAAATTATATTAATTAAATTGTTTCTGGGTTAAATGCAGGCATTGTGCGTGCAACATTACAATTAACCCTTTTTTATGTCCCAAACCAGATGCAACGGAGGCATCTCACATGCATGTGGAATGGGAAGAGAACTACCAGAGAGGATATGAGTGGTGGTTGATGAAGGAAGCCAAGAAGGTATGCCCAATGTAAATACCTATAACAGTGCAGTGTTGGTTGATGAAAGAAGCCAAGAAGGTATGCCCAATGTAAATACCTATAACAGTGCAGTGTTGGTTGATGAAAGAAGCCAAGAAGGTATGCCCAATGTAAATACATATAACAGTGCAGTGTTGGTTGATGAAAGAAGCCAAGAAGGTAGCCCAATATAAATACCTATAACTGCAGGATATTTGTGATGGTTGATAAAGGAAGCCAAGAAGGTATGCTCAATGTAAATACCTATAACAGTGCAGGATATTTGTGATGGTTGATAAAGGAAGCCAAGAAGGTATGCCAAAATGTAAATACCTATAACAGGGCAGGATATTTGTGGTGGTTGATGAAGGAAGCCAAGAAGGTATGCCAATTGTCTGATGAAAAATGTCTAGATATTATATTTTAAAGTAAAAAATTATTCTTATTGGGCACTAATACTTCTAGTAGTACTGTAAAGGGTTCATTTATTCACTTTAATTTATCAAAATGTGAATGTAGTATGCACCAGGCAAGACACAGCAACATATGGCAGGAAATAATTTGTGCAGTCTATTATTTTTATCTTCTTCGTTCAGAAAAATAAATGCTTATGCACACATGAGTACACATTTTTGTCTGTGTATTAATTTTTATCTGTCCTATGTCACATTGTACATCTCTTTGTGTCTATTTATTTCTTTCTGTCCTAGGTCACTTTGTACATCACTTTGTTCTCAGTGTTTGCTCAGTCAGAGTAGTCTCCATCTGTCATACCTCTAGAGTGTATACCATCTGATAAAATACTTTAGGACAAGTTGAACCAGATCACCTATGTTACAATAGCAGAGCACCGTCTACTATGCTACCATGATATGAGGTAATATCAGTATGTTATCATTTACAGCGCAACCCAAATATCCAGTTGTATGGGCTCCCTTGGGCATTTCCAGGGTGGCTTGGTCATGGGACTCAGAACCCATATTATGACAGACAGAAATTGGCAAACTACATTTACAAGTGGATCTGGGGGGCAAAGGTTTATCACAACCTCACAATAGACTACATCGGGGTAAGTCTTTAGTGTTTCCGATCTTCACATTGTTCTTCCTATTGCTGCTACTTTGTGTGATCATATCTTGACTTTCATATCATCTTTCCCCTGTGTGGATTCCAGGACCCTATTATAGAGAAAACAAGAATAGACCCACTGTCTACCCGAAAGAGTTGACTAAGTGGGAGCTTCCTTCGAAGTCGGAGTGCATCTCCCTGAGAGGCAAGGAATCAACAGTCTGCACACAAATGTGTCAGATCTGTCAAATTAAAACACATGCAACACTCAGGTTCTGGAACAGGATGGCAGTCCAGAAGTAGACAAACAACCAGAACTTTCCACCAGAGTTTACAGCTGGTGAACACGAAGAATAAAGAGATATCACCTTTCATGATGTACTCATTTGTGTCAGGAGTCCTTGTTTATTTTCATGCAATTTTGAGCTTGTCGCAAGTCAATGGGACAAATAGCTTTTGTGAAGATACATTAAACTTGAGAAGGATTAAAATCATAAATTGATTAGAGAAATTAGATGTAGACAGTCAAGATATTTTGTTGAAATGTTGAGAGAAAGAATAGACTCAGGAACTTGGGGACAGCTGGCAAGACTGATGGAAAAAGAGCAAAGAGAAAGCCAAGAGATATATACCTAGCTTGGCTACATGGATGGGGTGGGGCAGGAGTACTGATTTATCAATGATTCCAAAGTACCTGTGTGTTTGTGAACCTTGGCCACTACAGTTATGATGATATTTGCTTGAAAGTATCTTGGTTCTCCTACAGCAGCTGCAGTAGATTTACCTGAGAAAGTAAAAGCCACATTAAATAGTGCCAGCCAGTTGCTCACCAAAATATGCCATATGCCAGTTTTCTAATATCTTAAGAGCATGCACAAGAGATTTGAAACTGGTTTTTGAACTTTTGTATAAACTAGGGATATAACAGATAGTATTCTTTCACTGTCAGCATCTGTGACTTAGGCGTCAGGAATGGAATGAGAATGAAGGAAGGAATGACTGCAGAAAGGATGAGAGCTGAGCATCTGAGAAGAAACAGTCTAAACACAAATGTTGACAACACTGGTCTTGAAATCCCATGCTGTTATTGTGGAAGACTTTTTTTTAACATGGGCGGGACTTGCTAGACACACCCACTATTGCCATGATCTGAGTGCCAGGCCTCCTCATTAGTATAACACTCTCAGTATAAAACTATTATCTGAAAAAATGGAAATGTGCAAATTAATCAGTTGATGAGCATGTACATCTTACAGCATTTACTGTGGGAGACAGAGCATGTGTGGATTCGCCTGGTGTGCTTTGCTATCCATTCTCAACTCTTTTAGTGCCAAACAGTGCACCATATTTGGCTGGATTTACTTATATGTAGCAGTCCAAATATTAGTCTTGTACATTTTAAGTTTAGTCAGGGCAGAGTAATACATTCAACAACACACCAATTCCCCTATAAGGCTTGTGAATTTAGCTCCTGTGAATTTAGTATACCCATGGTAGTTGGTTGTCATTATAACCTTGTTTGGTATTCAGCTATAACTTTCTGGGACTGAAAGTTAGATGTTCATTGTGCAGAATTATCACACAGTTTGAAGGCAAAAATATTTATTGAACCTCATTATGATACACATCATTTGTCCGTCCAGGGATTCAGACTTGTCACTCCAGAAGTAGAGGTTTCTATCCTAACACAGTAAGTAAAAGTAAAAAAAAAGTAAAGATCCCTTTTCACGCCTTTCGGCGCATCGGGCATATGGGCAGAGCGTCCCATATTTTTACAGACCATCAGCACTCTGTGGGTAATGTGGTCAGCATTACGCCGGCTGTCTTTACTTTCCTAGGACAGCCCATCCTGGTACCCAATTTAGGTTGGGTCGACCTGCGACGTCCCATACCACGACAAAAATCCACGCAGCCTGCAATGGGTTTCGATCGCGGTATGCTGGCTCACGAGTCGGACTTGCAACGCCTTAGCCACGGATCCTAACACAGTGCTGCTCAGTTAATAATTTAATCAGTTATTATTGAACATTTTAATAAACACATGTGCCCATATTCTCTAACATATACTGACTGTTACAGATTACATTCAGAGTTAAGGTTAATACGTGGAAGTAAAATGTTACTGTAGATAAAATATTAAAGGTTTTAAATATTCTGATGTTCTCTGTATGTTAAATTTATTTCAGATCTGGAATGAACAAAATTGTGACTTACAGTATATCATGGTAAACAAACTTGATATGTTGTTGTTGTATTATCACAGACAGGATATATTAAATTTGGAATAGATGGAAACAAAATGAAAAGATTTCTTGTGTGTCTTCTTGGGCCCTATAATTAGAGGGGAACAGAAATAGATCTACTTCTACCCAGAAGCGTCATGAGTAGCAATTAATTCAGGGCAATGGAAAACAGTCACTCTCTTGGCCTCACAGGGACACTCTCAGTATCTCTTCCTGAGCTGCCTCTGGGTCAGACAGCTTCTTGTGCCCACCTCACACCGCTGTTTACTCAGACTAGACTGGTGCCTCCTGAAGCAACCATACTGGTCTTGAAAACTGGTCAAAGTCTGTGGTCTACAATTGTTCTCCATCACACTAGAAATGTTTATGGAAATATCATTACAACACTATCATCACTTGCATACATTAGGGTACTATGTGTTTATACTACTTTCATCTAAACTATTAGAAAACTTAACAGTCCTTGAAGTATCATGTTGGCGTTAAATTGATAAGCATCATCAGGAATAATTTTTAAAACTCTGAAACTGATATATTGGCAACTACAGACTCTTGAAGAACCGCAGAATAATTGATGAAGAAGGACCAATGAAGAATCATAGAAGAAACAAAGAACCTTGAATCGGCTTGGTCAGGTCTTAAAATAGCTGACCACTATGGGGGCCATGCTGGGTGTTGCGCACAGTGTTAACGCTTTATTTATGCTTCATGAAGTTCTAGGATTTTAACGCCCCCACAAGCTTTAGGTGTAAGTGAAGTTTTGGGTGTAGTCTGTTTCAACTAACTTACTCTTGTGTTTGAACTGTAATCTATTTCTGTCTTGACTAACCCTGGCACATGACAGGACCAAACAGGACATCCTCTGTGATTGGCTCTTCCTTACTTTTGAATGCCAATCATAATTTAAAGCTGTCAGTTCCAAATAGCATGCAATGTTTGATTAACTCTTTCCATTTAATAGCTACCATTGGATCACATGCTGTAACTTAAAAAAAAAAAATTTTGCTTGAGCGTGTTGATGAAGTCTTGCTTTTTAATGGTAACTTCAGCTATTTATTTACTTATCTCTTTGAAAAAAAAAATATTAAAATAAAAAATAAGTAGTTCAATGATTTATTACTTTGAGGCTCTTTACCTAATTGGATATCTCATTCAAAAGCGTCTGGTACTGAAAGAGTTATTATTTTCCAAATTTTTACATTTAGCCAGAGTATACTAAATATATCTGGGTTCCCACTGGCCACCACCACTGTGTTTAGTCTCTTTGATGAAAGTCATGACTCATGATATTTTCACAGTTGTTATTTTCTCCCTGTAATCTTTTACAAAATCTTCTGAAAAAGAAAGAGTTAAGGAAGATGATGGCCTGTACCATATACTGGTTGGTGTTGTATAGATTGTTAAATTGATTTGCAAGATGAATATCAACAGGTGTGCAGGTAATAGATAGATTGTTCAAGAAAAATTGTCACTGTTTAAAATTACATAAATGTACAGTAGAACCTCGCTTAACGAGCACCTCTCATAATGAGTAATTAGCATAACGAGCAAAACAAATTGTAAAAAGATGACTTGCTTAACGAGCGTCGTTTCGCATAACGAATGGCGAGGAGAAGGGAAGTCCCGAATTGTGCGCATATTACATCAGTCTGTGTTTAGCATTCGTTTCAGTAGCATCGTAGTGTCGCTTGTGATCACACATTTTCTCAAACTTGTGTTATATTGTGATATATTTACATGAATCCTCCAGGCCTACAAGATGACCTCTCTGAAGAATTAGGTTCATCAAGATCCAGTTTCTGCCTACCAACACCACTCCGTTACCCCAGCCCATGGACCAACAAGTTATTTCTAACTTTAAGAAGCTCTACACTAAAGCACTCTTTGAGCATTGTTTTCCGGTGACTGAAGGGACCAACCTTACTCTCAAAGAGTTTTGGAAAAACCACTTCCACACCGTTGCTTGCCTCAAGATGATCGACAAAACGGGGGAAGGGGTTACCAAGAGAACCCTAACTTTTGCTTGGAAGAAGCTTTGGCCAGAGAGCTTTGTCGATTTGTGACTTTGAGGGGTTCGAGACAGTACCTGTGGAACCTGTAGTCAACAAGATTATGTCTTTGGCCACTATCATGGGATCGTAGGTGGATAACAGTGATATCGAAGAGCTTGTGGAAGATCACAGCCAAGAGCTGACCACCCAAGAGCTTATGGAGTTGCATTGTGTTTCACAGCAAGAAGTTTTGGGGGAAAGTTTGTCAGAGGAGGAGGAAGTAACAGAAAAGCAACAATCTTCTGGCAAAATAAGAGAAATGCTGAAAACTTGGCAAACTGTTGCATCTTACATTGAGAAGCATCACCCTAATAAGAAAGTGGTTATGCACAATGCAAATTTATTTAATGATAATGCTGTGTAGCATTTTTGCCAAATTTTGAAGCGTTGGCAAAAACAAATGTCTCTGAACATCTTTCTAGTAACAAAATTAATGAGCTATGTATCATAATTATTTCGACATTTTTTTTTCTGCAAATCAAATTCACATTCCATGTGGGTTTGTTCCACGTTTGAAGAAAAGATGAAGATGATTCACTCACCTTAACAATATGTATATAATTTTCTTTGAATAAACGTTATATTCAGCCTTTTGTGAGTATTTTTTTGACATGGAACGCATTATCGTATTTTAAATTAATTTATATGAGGACAATTGTTTCGCATAACGAGTGTTTTGCATGACAAGTGGTAATGCTTCTGCAGCAGATATTTAAATGTACAAGATGAATGGGAATGGTGTTATGGATACAGATAGATTTTCACAACTACACTTCTAGAAGAAGACCAAAGTCCATAACTTTCCGCTGGAGTTTACAGCCGGTGTACAGTAAGGAGAAGAAGAAGAAGAAGATGTGTGAAACAAATGGTAATTTTTAAATAGATAACGCTGAGATGTACAGAATGGTGGTAATTGTTGTATGTATAATACATTGATAGCTTATGTTTGTGTACAAGACATAGATAATGAGCAGACTAGCTGAGTACCACCTGAGGTGTGATGTGTTTTCATGAGTGAAATACAAAGAATTCACTAGGTTGAGAACAACTATTGAGGTGCACATAAAAAGAAGAAAGATAAACATACATTTATTAGGAAAATGAAGATTAGACAGCCAGGAAATGTTTGGCATATTATCAGTAGACACATCTAGTTTAAGCCATTTGCCTGTTGCTTTAAATTTGGTGAGTGAATTTCATTAAGTACAGTTTTACAGTTTTTACAGAAATCACTGAAGTTATGGAGTTCATGCATTGCATGATGCTTTTACGAAGCAGCTAGCCCCCCCTACCCCCCCCCCCCCTTTTTTTTTTCTTCATAGACTGAGTCATATGGGATAAAACCAAGTGCAATGAAGTCAATTTTCTCAACTTTAAACTTTTAAAAACCCATTTTTTTTCCTTCTTCAAAACCTATTCAGGTTCTACGAGACATACTGGATAGAAATGGCTTTATGAACACAAAAATTGTGGCTACAGATTCCTGGTGGTCTGCTATATCAGATATTGAATTATATGCTGAAGTGACTGCTGCAGTTGATGCTTTAGGGTTTGTAATGTCACTTGTACACTTGCATAACATGTTTTTGGATTTTGCCGGGAGTAATTGTTTGTCCATTAATTCTTTAATGGGACTGTGAGGGGCTTATCATGGGATTTCCACGGACACATGAATGGAACAATTTATGAGGTAATTAATTAGCGGTATAGCTGAAACCTCTCATACTACTACTGCTGCTGCTGCTCTACTACTACTAGTACTACTACTACTACCACTTCCACTACTACTGCTACTGCTTCTGCTACTGCTTCTGCTACTGCTGGCTGCAGAGATTACTGGGAATTGTTGCCGGAGCTATGGAGTTCATGATTTGTGTGATGCTCTCGACAGACAGCTGGTTGTTCTGGGGAAGAAGTCCAAGCCATATGGGATAAAACCCAGTGCAGTGAAGTTGATCCGCTCGACTGTAATCTAACCTTTAACCTGTTTGGTTTCAATAGTCCGATCGTCTTGTATTATATATATTATAATTGCTGTATGAAGGATGTATGGTTTGGGAGGGCCATTAAGAAGGGCCTGCACATTCAGTTTGTGACCCTTTGAAATTAAGTTTGTCAGTTTCATTTAATTTTCTGATTCCATGTAATTTCAGAATGAGAGGATTTGTTGGTGTCTTTCCAGGGTACACTATCCTGGTGTGTTGTCTCCAGATTCAGCCATCAACTCAGGAAAGCAGTTGTGGTCTTCGGAAGATTATAGTTCATTCAATGATGAAGTTGGTGGAGGTTGCTGGGCCAGAGTAGGTTTTGTTTTTCTTTGTGGTAAAGTGAGGTTGGGACTGACATGTTGACAAAATATTTACTTTACACATTTTATTGCTGCCTAATTTTGTTGTATTTTGTTGGGGGCATTACTACAGAGGTCACTTAAAAAAAAATAATTAAGCACAAAATGAGAAACATTTCAAGTGAAATACACAAATCATATTGTCTCGTTATGCCGTAAATCAGCTCTATTTAAGTGGCAGGGTAGAGGCCTTCGAATCTTGCCAGTTGTATTTATTAATGACCTTTATATTCTGGGGCTGAGGCCTCTGGCCTATGGTGATCCACATAGTCAACATTTGGGCCCTAAGTAAACTTTATTGAATAGCCCTGCTGTACACCCTACCAGGGGAGTCTAAGACTGACCATAAGATCACCACAGAGTAATACCAGGCAAAAAATTGTGCAGTATATATATTTGAATCCTCGGTATTTACATTGATAACAAAAGCATATTGATTTCATTTGGATACACAACTGGTGATACATTTATACAATAATAACATTCCGACTGCTGTTTTCTGAAACATTCTCAGTAAGTCTGTTACAAATATAAAATGTCAAACTGTACTGCCATCCAACCATTGGAAAGCTACTTCCAATCCCTACACATCCGTTTACATGTGATGTTTTACACGATGATTTTATCAATTAAGCTGTGCCCAAATCTGGTAGTCTGGTAGTCTTCTTAGTTTCAGCTTCATAGCAAACGGGTCACCCCATCTTTGCTCCACTCCTGTGCCAACGAAAAACACACAGAATGTTTATCACAGTATTAGAATTGCAGTTCATCATTGATGGTAGCAGAAGTCGCCAACAGATCAGCAGTTGCCCACGCGATCAATTTTAATCACATACGGGCACCACAACACTGCACGTCAGGCATCGCGCCATTTTCTGAATCTACAATTCACACCAACACTTTGGTCACAGTCGAAAAAACATTCCAAATGCAATCCGCAGCTCACAGGGTCATGCCATGCATTCAAATCAGAAGCTGGGCGACGAAACTATATCCAGTCTACAAATGGAGCAAAAATGCATCGGCCACTGTTTCAAACAGTGCCACTGCCTAACGTCCATTTTGACCGGAAGTGCCCAAATACCTTCGTCTACTCTTTTGTGTGTCTCACCACTTGTTGTACAAATGTCTCTGTATCACTAACTATTACCGACACCCTTGAATCAAAGTAGCTGTCACTTCATGAAAGGCTGTTTTGGAAAAGTGTTTTGCCGTTTCTCACTAAATATTATCTTGCCATTTTCACAAACATTTCTTCTTCTTCTTCTCTTCCACCTTATACCTCAGTGAAGTGTCAGGGGAAAATGTAACATTTGTTGATGAGCTCTGTCAAGAGCACTATTAAGACTGATGTTCATTTCTGTAAGGCTGTTCTTAATGCAATCACTCCATCTTTTCCGAGGTCTTCCACTCACTCAACACCCGTTAAAACGTTTTAGTGTGGCTCGCTGTGGCAGATAGTACCAGGGCATTCTTATTAGGTGTCCAAACCACTTCATTTGTTGTTCTTTGATGACTTGTTCCTAGCATTGTCTGATTTCGTGATTTCTTATTCTGTCTTTCCTTGAAAACTCCTGCAGCTCTTCTAAGGCATTTCATCTCTGACAAACATTTCTGATACAGTTTTATGCAAGTACCATCCAGTTAGTTCCCTCTCTCCAGTGAATATCCCTTATTTTAGTGCAAAGTCTCATATAGAAGTTACACACTGTCAGCAAAAGACTTTACAATACATCAGTTCCTATAACCCCCTGTATTTTGTAAATTTGGAAGGCAATACAAGTATATTTTGCATGTACCATGTAGGATATTTTCATTGTACATCCCAAGGCTTCCTTTTGCATGTGTTCCAGCATGCCCATTTGGTTATGAGAGATTGTCAGTAGTCACTGACCACACTCGAACACCAAACAAAAAAGGCGCTAATAGACGTAATATTTTATACACAATGGATTTATCCAGAATACTTGTTTCATTTTTATACCCCAATCTGTTGATTTGGCATTATAATTTTATTTTAATTTGCTTTCACAGATTCTTAACCAGAATTATGTGAAAGGTCTAATGACAAGGTATGTTTTGCATATATTAATATTTTATGTTTTATTATTTATATATCTGTAACAGAGGAAGCTTGAGAGAGGTGGAAAATGAATTTGCGGAAAACTGAGTCAGCAGAATACATTATATTTAAAAAAAAAAAAAAAAAATTAGTTTAGAAGAACTATGTGACTAATATCATGTGCAGAATATAGAAAGTAGAATATTTTGTATTTTATATAATTAAAGACTAATCAGCTACACTTGTTTTAAAACAAAAGTTAAAAAAAAAAAATGGTTAGTGTGTAAGACATAGAGTCAGATGAATAAATTATGTTATAAATCTTTAAAAAAAAAAATAGTAACCTGAATAGAACACCTGGCACAAGAAATAAATCTATCAGCACAGAACACTGGGGGGATATAGTGAGGAGTTGGATATCTCAGGGACTAAATGGTTCAGTGCAGTGAGGAAGTTCAATTGACTGACTGACTAACTAACCACTCAACTAAACATCTCACCAGCAACCCAAACCCAACCAACCGACTTTGGAAGCAAGAAATATATAGATGTATTTTTATTTGCAGCACCATTGCATGGAATTTGATTGACAGTTTCTACCAGGCTCTTCCCTGGGATAGAGATTCTCTGATGACAGCCAGAGAGCCCGTGGAGTGGCAACTATATTGTAGAAAGCCCAATCTGGATGTCTGGTAGGGTCAGCTTTTTATTAACCTTTTCCTCTTTGTATTATTATCCATAAATGAAAGTTGATTTCTTTTGTCTCTTTAAATAGGAATTTGCAAAAGTTGCACCTTCTAACTTACACCTCTTACTTCAGTGGGACATTATTTATGACTTTGTTTATTTTCTTTTATTTATGCATACTATAAATACTCTGTTATGAGTATGTTTTCTTGTTTTGAATTCTGCCATGGCAGTAGCTTTTATCATAATCCATTTTTTTTTTTAAACGTATCCAGAAACCATGAGTTGTAAACCCTTTGGCACGGTACTATGGATATCGCAACCCTTCGGCATTGATTCCATTATAGGTACCGTTAATCTGGGAGAAATTTGGCTTTTCTGCCTACCCCCGGGAGTGAACCTGGACCACAAGGAGTTCGTCACCCGGCCGCCGCGAAAGTCAGGTTTAACCAACTTTGCTAGAGAGCCGGGTATCATAATCCATCAAATGCCTTGTTGACTTATATGGACAATCATACCTCTCTGCAGCTTGTCAGATGTGCTTATAGCACTAGCTGCAGACTGTCAGTCTTCTCACATTGCCTTCATGTGCTTATAGTCATCATAATGCCATGACCAAAAAAAAGGTGACTGTCTCTTTCTGAATAAGTTCTCACATTGCCTCATCTTTTAGGAATCTTTTTCTTTTCTCTGAAGCAAATTGTTTGGCTTCCAAAGTCATCAACCTGTGTTTTTAGCCCCCCCCAATCCCCCTGGAACCTTGACAGGGATTCAGTATGATCATCTAAAATGGCTTCAGACACATTAATTTTGACTTAGCTAACCGCCTGCTTTCCCTATAGTCACCAAAAAAAATATCGAGAGACCTGAAAACTGTCCTCCTCTTTTGACAATCAAGACATCCACCTGGAACCTTGACAGGGATTCAGTATGATCATCTAAAATGTTGACACATTAATTTTGACTGCAACCGCCTGCATCTACTTAGTCAAACATGTCTGAAGCAACCAGATATAGAGACTCATTGTGCTCTGACAATCAAGACATCCACCTGGAACCTTGAGGGATTCAATTCATCTAAAATGGCTTCATTTTTTTGACTAAAACCGCCTCTTTCATCTATGAAGGTTCTGCCACAAGTCTTTTGAAGCAACCAATAGTCTATGCACACAAGACTGGAACCTTGACAGGGATTTATGATCATCTAAAATGGCTTCTGTTGACTTAGCTAGCCTGAATATTATAGTAGGAGGTAGAAACTCTTCCCGCTGAAGCAACCAGATATCGAGAGACTCCTGACAACGAGCCCTCCTGCTTTGACAATCAAGACATCCACCTGGAACCTTGACAGGGATTCAGTATGATCATCTAAAATGGCTTCAGACACATTAATTTTGACTTAGCTAACCGCCTGCTTTCATATTATAGTCAGGAGGTTCTGCCTACACCTCTTCCCGCTAAAGCAACCAGATATCGAGAGACCTCCTTGAAAACGAGCCCTCCTGCTCTGATACTCCACCTGGATACAGGGATCAGGATCATCTAAAATGGTTCAGCACATTAATTTTGACTTAGCTAACCGCCTGCTTTCCTATAGTCAGCTGACACCTCTTCCCGCAACCAGATATCGAGAGACCTCCTTGAAAACGAGCCCTCCTGCTTTGACAATCAAGACATCCACCTGGAACCTTGACAGGGATTCAGTATGATCATCTAAAATGGCTTAATTTTGACTTAGCAGACACACAACCAGATAATTTCATTGAAACTTAGCTTTGACCAAGCATCTGGAACCTTGACAGGGATTCAGTATGATCATCTAGTCAGGAGACTTAGTTGCTGCCTACACCTCTTCCCGCTGAAGCAACCAGATATCGAGAGACCTCCTTGAAAACGAGCCCTCCTGCTTTGACAATCAAGACATCCACCTGGAACCTTGACAGGGATTCAGTATGATCATCTAAAATGGCTTCAGACACATTAATTTTGACTTAGCTAACCGCCTGCTTCCATACTATAGTCAGGAGGTTCTGCCTACACCTCTTCCCGCTGAAGCAACCAGATATCGAGAGACCTCCTTGAAAACGAGCCCTCCTGCTTTGACAATCAAGACATCCACCTGGAACCTTGACAGGGATTCACATCTAAAATGGCTTCAGACACATTAATTTGACTTAGCTAACCGCCTGCTTTCATACTATAGTCAGGAGGTTCTGCCTAGTGAAGCAACCAGATTCGGAGACCTCCTTGAAAACGAGCCCTGGCTATCTACAGGGATTCAAATAAAGCAGGAGACTTATAACCGCCTGCTTCATACATAGTCAGGCTGCCTACCTCGCGAGCAACCTATCGAGAGACCTCCTTGAAAAGCACAGTAAAAGTAGTCTGAGACAAACTCTCATGCTTTAAATCTTAGTGTTCGGTTATGGCACATTGTCACAAGGCACCTCGCGACACCCTTAATACCAGCAAATAGTCTAGATGCTTTATCTTCACATGCAACATCACGTGTGCACAATTGCAATATTCTTTGTGGAACAATTTGCAACCCACACAGAACTAATGTCTTTAAAACTGTGGAAGAATTTGTAACCATAACAGGAGAAAGACATCTCGTAATCATCAACCATTATCAGAGAATGTAAAGCAGATTAAGGGACCAGAACATTCATAGAAGAGAGGACAATTCTTCTGATGCTCTCTTGTGTTCCCTCCATTTTGGAGTTTTCTTGACTTTTAATTTCTTGACTATTAAATTTGATTTTCACTAGCAAATAAAGTGTGAATACAAATGGCTGCATTTTACTAATTGTCTTTATTGTCAGCTCATACAACACAGTTGTCAGAGATTGGCTGGAGGTACTTGCCACATGACCATGGCGTAGGGATGCTGAATCAGGGGGGCAGCTATGTGACTCTAGTCAGCCCTGATTTGAGTCATCTCACTATTGTTATTGAAGCAATGGTAGGATATGCTTGTTTTTATTTTAATTTTTTTTTGGATCATATACTGGAAATCTAACAAATACATTTGAAATAAAAACAAGTATGTGACACAGATGTCTTTTGTCACCTCTCATATTTTTACTGGCATTAGACTGGATTATGAAGACAGCAACTGCTAACACCAGGAATGGAATTTAGTGGACCTCTACAAAACAGCTTGATGATCTGGTCTTTGCTGATGATATTTCTCTTCTGTCCCACTCATGGAATCAGATGCAAGATAAGTTAAATATATTTGATGCCAGATCACAACAGCTTGGTCTGAAAATCCATAAGGGAAAGATAAAAATAATGAGAATAAACTCGGAATATAGTAATGTGGTTTCGCTTAATGATATCCCACTTCAAGACTTGGAGTCAAACACCTTTTTGGGCAGTAATGTAGATGAAGAGGGGAGACTAATACAGAGGTGAAGAAAACACTACGGTGTTGGCTAAGACAAGATGGAAAACCTGAGAAAAGTACAACTAGAACGTCTTTGCACTGAAGCCTACAGAGGCACAGAAATAAAGGATGCTCAAAAACGCATGGAGAAGAGAGCTAGAGAGAAGTTAAAAAGCTAGGAAGAGCTGCCTGCGATAGCAAAGGATAGAACAACTAAGAATGAGCTGGTTGATGACCTGTGCTCCATTGGGGGTTAAAAGGCAGAAGAAGAAGAGATGATTATATACTTCTGTGGGCCTAAAATGTTGTTATTATTTCTTAGTTTCTATATTTAAATGACATTGTAGTTGTTTAAAAAAAATATGTTATGATATTACATTTCCATAAACAAAACTATCAAAGTAAGTAAAGGACAATTCTCCATGTCCTCAGAAGTATTGAGCATTAAGTGCTAGACCTGTATTTTATAGAAACAATCTGTACTTGGTGGGGGATATGGTCAAAATCATGCCAGCTGCCTTTACTTCCCAGGACTTCACCTGGTACTGATTTCTTCTTTCTTTCTTTGCCTTCACTGGTTGTAAATTCCTGTGGAAAGTCCCAGTTTTTTCATCTATTTGGACTTTTGGCTTTGTACCAGGACCTGAGTTTTGTGTGGACATCCATTTTACCGGCTCATTTGTGTGGAGTTCTTTTGTCGGACATTTGAGCCTAGCCAGCAGACTGACAGTGGCTGTCAACGAGGTGACGACGACGTTGAGGGTTGACAGAGAATGTCAACAGATACATTTTACAGCAATTTTTACCATGAGAAACCGCCCACAGGAGATGTTACTCATCAAAGCTGTGGCCAAATCTCTTGGCCAATGGCTGAGACTCAGCAGTTCAGTTTTTCTTTACTCTACAGACTTTAACTGAGAGTTTTCGTTTAATGGTACATAAGGCAGTCATACTTTACTCATGTTTCGCATGAGGTTTGATAGACCTTTACACTTATGCTATTGAGGGTGGGCTGATGAGAGCCAGACTGGACACTACATCTCTGGGAGCCACCAACTTCGCGATCCACTGCCAGTTCTGTTAATGCTAATTTGAGACATAATCTGTAGCACACGGGGACGTGCAGCAGGAGTCTTGCATGAAGTTTGTAAAACCAGCACATAAAAAGCTTACGCCCGAGGTGAGGTACGAAATATCTTCTTACACACAACACAACAGACTTAACTTTTCCTCAGCCTCAACTGATATCACCGTCCCACATACCGATTTAAGATTGGGTCGATTTGGGAACCAAGGTCACCTTTGGCAAAAAAAGAAGCCTGGCTAAACAAAACTGTTTTAACCATAAATCATAGTTAGTGATACAGAAATAAAAAATGTCACAAATTGTGAATAAATTGGCTCCATTATTAAGAACATTAAAAACTGATCGTAAGAGAAAAATCGGAAGGAGACAGCTAAAGAATAGCAGATCTTAATTAGTATTGAGAGTCTAAAGCACAGTAAAAATGAAAATCTGGAAGGTGTTGTTGTCCCAGTTACAGAAAATGGCTGAGCCATTCAGGTGTTTACATCTTTCTGATCTCTGCTTTTTAGTTTTTTGCTTTGATGAGATGTCCAGACAGTCTACATCTAATCAGTTTAATGTTTACTTGTTTCTTTAACAATGCCTATTTTTTTCAAAATGCAATAATTCAGTTAGGCAACTGGAAACAATAATTATAAGGCAAGGAATAGGACACTATATTGGACACATCCTGAGGAGAAATGAGCAGAGTCACTAAACAGGCACTAAGATAGGAAATATAGATACTGGGGAAGTGCAGACGTCCAAAGGAAATCCTCAAATGAATGTTGATGAGAGAAGCCAAAGGTACTAGTGGATTCTATCTGTGATATCCAAAAGATTGCACTGGATAGAAGAATGGACTAAGGAATATACTGTGAACCCTATTTGAGATATAATGGCACAACAGGACAGTGGTGGTGATGATGATCAATCAGTCAGGTTCTTTCTTCACAGTGAAGATTACCTGCAATGGATCTCCACCACACTCCATTTCTCATCTTGGTTGTACACTCTCACATTGCTCTTCGTCCATCTCCTGATGTTGTTCTCCCACTTGCATTGCTGTCTACCTCTTGCTCTCTTTCCTTATCTTTTCTCTCCAGGATGGTTTTTAAAAGAGTGTCATGTCTTTTAATGTGGCTGCAAATTTTCACTCATCTATGTTTTTCTTTCAGCAACTTTTTTTCCTAATCTCTTCAGAATGTCTGTATTTAATTTGTTTTGTTTACATGAAATACAGCCCATTCTTCTTTTTTGTGTAGGTGATACTGATTGCATTTTCCTTAGAAACAAAATTTTCACAGTTTTAGATGATTCTCAGCTTGTCTGCTTATTGTCCAAATTTCACTTGCATACAACAATATTGGTCTTCTTTATAGCAGTTTAAAATATTTTCCCCACTTCTGGTGAAAGCTTTTTTGTAATTATGAGGGGAAGTCAATAAGAAAGTCCCAAATGGTTATGGGATGGCAGGAAAATGTAGTTGGTGGTTTTTATAAATGTCATTAGATGACAGCAACATCAAACGTTAGGTCTCCATTTGTTGGGTGGCGCTAGGTGTTGCATGCACATTGGCAACACAGAAACAAAATGGTGACTGTACCTAAGGAGTATACCCTCAAAGAACAATGTGCTGTTGTGCAGTTTTTTTTTTTGGGGGGGGGGGGGGGGGGGGGGGGGGGGGGGGGGGGGGGGCCTGCAAAGGACATTCAAAAGGAAATGCTTTCTGTTTATGCTGACAGATGTTTATCCTGTAAAGCAGTGTAAAGCTGGGTAAAAAATGTTTCTCAGGGATGCTCTGCTATTGTTGATGAAGTCCTATTTGGTCGTCCTGTTTATATTGCAACAGGCGCATCTGTGGAGCAGGTGGAGGAGATGCTTAGAGGTGACAGATTTGTTTCAGTTGACTCTGTAGCAGCTGCAATAGGGTGCTCACATGGCTCAGCATACAACATAATGCATGATCAACTGAAATTGAAAAAACTCTGCTCAAGGTGGGTACCCAGAAAATTGATGGACAAACACAAAATGAACCAATTAGGCCTGTCCTTGCAGCATCTCTGTCGATACTCAGATGAGGGAGAAAACATGCTGGGCAGGATTATTACTGGGGACGAATCATGGGTGCATCAGCTGAAAAAGAGTGCTCACATGGTTCAGCATACAACATAATGCACGATCGACTGAAATTGAAAAAAAAAAAACATCCTGCTCAAGGTGGGTACCCAGAACATTGATGGACAAACACAAAATGAACCAATTAGGCCTGTCCTTGCAGCATCTCTGTCGATACTCAGATGAGGGAGAAGACATGCTGGCAGGATTATTACTGGGGATGAATCATGGGTGCATCACTACCAGCCCAAATCAAAGCGTGCTTAAGTGCAATGGAAACATCCTTCTTCGCCTTGTGTTAAAAAATTCAAGGTTACGCCATCAGCAGGGAAGGTTATGCTGACAGTATTCTGGGATTGTCAAGAAGTGCTATTAACCAATTTAAAAAAAAGAGGTGACAGTGAATACCGATTCATACAATAACGTTCTTGATACTTCATGATGAAATTTGGCAAAAATGTTCAGGCCTGCTGACTAAAGGAGTACTGCTCTTTCATGACAATGCCAGATCACATACGGCTCGGTTAACTAATGAGAAAGTTAACCATCTAGGGTGGGAACTTCTAGAACATCCACCTTACAGCCCAGACTAAGCCCCTAGCGATTTCCACCTTTTTGGTCCACTGTAAACCCACCTTGGCGGGAGACATTTCGCGAATGATGCAGAAGTTGAATTGGAAGTGAAAATGTGGTTTAGAAAACAGAGTACACAGTCCTATGCAGCGGGTTGGGAGGACTGATAAAACGATGGGACGAGTGCATCAGTGTTGGTGAAATTATGTTGAAAAATAAAGGGACAATGTGTAAAAATAAACGGTTTTCCAGTTGTTATCGTCTAAAGTTTTTTTTTTTTTAACAACCATTTGGGACTTACCCCTCCTACTTATGCAATAAACACATCAATGTATTTAGCATTTGTATATAAGTATGTAGATTTTAGAAACTATTCTTAAATATTAAGAAGTTTAAGCATACAGATAACTGTAATATTAATTATGGTTTCATATTTGTGTTTTTAAACAAAACTTTTAATTTTTAGAATTATTTACATGATTAAAAAATGTTCTTTTTATGTTGACAGAGCCATAACCACTCCTTGTGCATTCGACCTAAACTTCCATGGTACACTGTGACGACACAAAATGTCACCTTTGTCTTGACAGGAAGTTTTGTAAGTCACTTTGATATGATTATGGGTTTACTCTTTCTGCACCATGCAACTTCCCATACATTCTCTGGTTAATCCAGATGGCTTACTTCTGCCACTCTCTTTTATCCCACTGGGTTGTTTCATTAACTCATTCTATTCAGATTCTATTCAAGAAAAATTGGCTGGTAAACAGCATCTTGTCTTGGAAACTGAAATAATTTGGGTATATGAAGTGCCACAGTTAATTAGAGAACTTTAAGGCATGGTACCAGGAAACAGGGGCAGAGGCTGACCAGCATGAAGATGGTCACAGGATATGTCACACCTTGGGTAGGAAAGCTGGCAAGAGACTGCGTTTCTTTCAGGCAGACCATGATGAGAGTGACATTGTGCAAAAAAGTTAAGTGGAGTTAAGTCAAGAACTGACATCACAGCACTTGGGGCATTCCCATGCATGCTAGGTCGTCATCTTCAACAGCCAGGGCATTCCCATGCATGCTAGGTCGTCATCTTCAACAGCCAGCACGTAGTTCCAATACTGATGGTACCGGTCACAATCTGGTTATATGTCCATCTTGCCTTTCCTCTGAGTGTAGTGAGCCAGCCAGACCCTCTGGTTACACTCAGGTGCCTCATTCTTTCCAGGCCATAATAATCTTCTTGCTCTACCGATTCCATTCTTAAAAAAAAAACAAAGCTGCTATATGATGACAATTCACATTGTTAGTTTAGTCCTTTGTTCTGTAAGTTTATTATTTTATTTTCTTTAGAAGAAAAAGCTATTTACATAATGTGGACACAAACAATATTATCTGTATTGAAAGTGAATTATTATCTGTATTGAAAGTGAATTATTATCTGTATTGAAAGTTAATTATTATCTGTGTTGAAAGTGAATTATTATCTGTATTAAAAGTGAATTATTATCTGTATTGAAAGTTAATTATTATCTGTATTGAAAGTTAAATTATTATCTGTATTGAAAGTAGCGGCGTCCATGGCTAAGGTGTTGCGAGTCTGACTCGTAATCCAACGTACCGCGATCGAAACCTGATTTTTTCATCGTGGTATTCTCGCTAGGTCATACCCCCCCAGCCTCAATGGGTACAGATGGGCTGTCCTGGGAAAGTATCAGACGGCCGGCGTAATGCTGACCACATTACCCACCGAGTGCCGATTGGTCTGTAAAAATATGGGTGCTCTTCCCATATGCCCGATGCGCCTAAGGGCGTGTAAAGGGATCTTTACTTACTTTTTTTATTGAAAGTTAAATTATTATCTGTATTGAAAGTTAATTATTATCTGTATTGAAAGTTAATTATTATCTGTATTGAAGGTTAATTATTATCTGTATTGAAAGTTCAATATTGTCTGTATTGAAAGTTAATTATTATCTGTATTGAAAGTTAATTATTATCTGTAATGAAAGTTCAATATTGTCTGTATTGAAAGTTAAATTATTATCTGTATTGAAAGTTAAATTATTATCTGTATTGAAAGTTACTTATTATCTGTATTGAAAGTGAATTATTATCTGTATTGAAAGTTAATTATTATCTTTATTGAAAGTTAATTATTATTTGTATTGAAAGTTCATTATTGTCTGTATTGAAAGTTAATTATTATCTGTATTGAAAGTGAATAATTATCTATATTGAAATTTCATTATTATCTGTATTGAAAAATAATTATTATCTGTATTGAAAGTTGAATTATTATCTGTATTGCAAGTTAATTATTATCTGTATTGAAAGTTACATTATAATAATGTTTTTCTAATGGATAAACAGTAATGCACTGTTTACATTTTCCATTTTTGTTGTTCATATGACAGTTTCTGCCTGTATGACGACTAGTTCATACACAAATCGTAAAAATATGGGGGTGACTGCAGTCAAACTAATACAAGAAATTTGACTAAAAAGCTCAACAGAATGGGGAAGCAGAAAAACAGGCACAAAACAACACAATGTAACATTTTGACCGGGCGGCCTTTTTCAAACTAAGTGAACTACACAAACTATTGTGTTTTTGTGTGCCCGTTTTTCTGCTTCCCCATTTTGTTGAGCTTTTTAGTCAAATTTCTCTAGTTCATACACAACCATGTCTAATGACCATGGACACAGTCTGCTTTTATGCAACACTGTATAAGGCTTCCTTTGACAATGAACCAGCACATAGACATTAATCTATCATTCAATGAACGATTACGCTCTTTAATTTTAAAGGAGGTTGCACAGAGGATATTCATCAATGCAACAACAAGCTACAAACAGTGTTATGTCATAACGAAAAACTCCATGAAATAACAACATATCACACTCTCTTCTAGCACAATATTGGTCTAATAATATGGAAAGCCTCTACACCACATAGTTTAATAAATAATTTAAAAAATGTCTGTCTGTCCCATCTCATATGATTTCTTTGTAAACTTGCTGTAATAGTGGTCCTATGTAGGCTGGTCAACCCTGTTTCTCATATAGTTCTCCTTCCCAACTCCTATATTTCCTTGAAAGTTTCTGTATAGAATCCCATTTTAAGTTGTTTAGTCTTCCTCAAAACGTCTGTCAAGCGGTCTGTCATCCAGGCATGCACTACCAAATTCCAGCGTGTTTTTCTGTTTCAGGGACCAGTTGACGGTTGCTTGTATTAGCCGTCCCCAGTCACCAAGACCATTCCACGTGTGAAACTTAAACGACAGTCACATTTTTGAGACTTTGCCTGTGACCAAGCTGAATTATTATCTCTAACTGTTCAGTAACAAGTGCTTGTCTCTAATTTTGAACAAACTGAGTGATTTCAGTTGCAGTCCCTGTGGAGTTTAGAGCTGCAGTTTTAATTTAACAGAGATGAAATGCCTTAGAAGAGCTGCAGGAGTTTCAAGGAAAGACAGAATACGAAATCATGAAATCAGATGATGCTAGGAATAAAGCCAGTCTTACAGGTCATCAAAGAACAACAAATGAAGTGGTTTGGACACCTAACAAGAATGCCCTGGTACTATCCGCCACAGCGAGCCACACTAAAATGTTACAACGGGTATAGAGCGAGTGGAAGACCTCGGAAAAGGTGGAGTGATGGCATTAATAACAGCCTTACAGAAATGAACATCAGTCTTAATAGTGCTCTTGACAGAGCCCATCAAAGAACATTACATCTCCCCCCGACACTTCAATGAGGTACAAAGTGGAAGAGAAGAAGAAGAAGTTTTAATTTAAACTGCATACAGGTACATTCAATTTTTATGGCTGGAGACATTCTAACTCTATTACATTCAGAGCTGAATGCGGCAAATTAATTATAAATACAAGTTCAATTGCTGTTGAATTTTGAATTATTGGGCTTCAGTTTAATGTAATGAGGTAGCCAGTTTTCTTCATCACTACCATTCCTCCCAAAATCGGGAGAATTGTCAGGTATTTATTTTATGAGACTGGGTTGATCTCAGTGTCGCACTGGTCACTGTTCTGTCACTGCTGAGGATTGATCCAGGACCTGTCTTGATAATCAGCAAGCTAACCTCCGTGCTTTCATGGATTCTCTCTGTATCTGTACATCTTTTTATCTGTCTATCTATCTATATGTCTGTTTATCTCTGTCTCTCGCTCTCTCTCTCTCACACACATACACACTTATACAAACATGCATATTCAAACAAGCACATGAATCATTGTTCAGTTACAGGCAAACACAATATTTACATTTCTTCTATCATTATTGATTTTTTAGCACTTTGTTATTTATGTAACCTTTTAAAAGAAAACCAAGAGTTTTAGAAAGATAAAAGACAAAGAAATATTGAAATATAGATAAAAAAAATTTTTAATAACCTAAGCATTATATATTTGTCTTTGTTCCTTTTTATACATTAGCCAACTTCCTCCCAGTTTTTTTTTTTACTTTAATGTTTTCGACCTGTGAATGCTTAAAAAAAATTTATTGTAGACCTGTAGGAATTTCTGGAGAAACAAATCCTTAAAAACAAAAACAACCATTTTACACAGGTCACTAAAACATTAAATTTAACAAAATTCACCTCACTGTAATTTTTTTTTCACTCCAAAATATATAAAGATATGTAAAAAGGTAATCAATAAACATGAATAAAGTAAAGCATTAATAGAATGTATTCCCATAGGTATAAAGAAAAAATTTATTGGGTGATTCAAATATGATCCTATGCCCTCATATCTATGGGTATTTTAATAGCAAAGCTTTAATCGTAAGGGTGAACATATTTTGCTTATGTCTGCAGAGCAAAATAAGCCAGCTGTTTATATGGCAGAGTACACTAACGTTTAATGGAACCACGCCTACATACTTCAAAAGTCTTGGAACTGTACCGGTATTTATTGACATTTTTATTTGTTTCTTCTTCTCAACCTCATCCTCTTTTTTTTTTTAAATCTTCAGGTGTCTGGTCTGGAATAGACATGGGCAAACATGACTCTCCATTTCTTTTTTAATCTGATGTTTTAGTGAAGTTAGTGGTGCAGCAGGGAGTAACCAGGGGATCCAGCTGACACTCAACACTTAGAGAAAACCAGACTGTTGTGACACTCAACACTTAGAGAAAACCAGACTGTTGTGACACTCAACACTTAGAGAAAACATGTATGTTGTGACACTCAACACTTAGAGAAAACAAGACTGTTGTGACACTCAATATTTAGAGAAAACAAGACTGTTGTGACACTCAACACTTAGAGAAAACAAGACTGTTGTGACACTCAACACTTAGAGAAAACAAGACTGTTGTGACACTCAACACTTAAAGAAAACAAGACTGTTGTGACACTCAACACTTAGAGAAAACAAGACTGTTGTGACACTCAACACTTAGAGAAAACAAGACTGTTGTGACACTCAACACTTAAAGAAAACAAGACTGTTGTGACACTGACACTTAGAGAAAAACAAGACTGTTGTGACACTCAACACTTAGAGAAAACAAGACTGTTGTGACACTAACACTTAGAGAAAACAAAACACTCAACACTTAGAGAAAACAAAGACTGTTGTGACACTCAACACTTAGAGAAAAACAAGACTGTGTGACACTCAACACTTAGAGAAAACAGACTGTTGGTGACAAACTCAACACTTAGAAGAAAACAAGTCTGTTGTGACACTCAACACTTAGAGAAAACAAGACTGTTGTGACACTCAACACTTAGAGAAAACAAGACTGTTGTGACACTCAACACTTGGAGAAAACAAGACTGTTGGGACACTCAACACTTAGAGAAAACAAGACTGTTGTGACACTCAACACTTGGAGAAAACAAGACTGCTGTGACACTCAACACTTAGAGAAAACCAGACTGTTGCTGGTATTATCAGAACTGGAACTCTACACTGGCTGCTTATTGGAAATTTCTGAGTGCTGTCCAGTTAGTTCTCAACCCAACTCAATGAAATGAATGTTGTCTGTACAATTCTTTGTTCCTCAACTGTAGAAAAACAACAAAATAGCTTTCACATGAATTTTTCTCTGTTTCTGCTACCTAGTTTCATTTCTTATGTTGACATGCCCTTAATGTTGACTTTTCTGATTATATTGTCTGAATAATTCCTGTAGGAGCCATGATAATGCCATTGCTAGCATGCTTGTCTGCCTGCCATTGACGTAGGTTTGATTTAATTTAGATTTTAAAAGTTGACTGGATCTCCTAGGTCAAACCCAGCCTAAAATGGGTAGCGGAAAATGTCCTCGGAAGTGTTATTTGACATCACCCATCGAGAACTGATCAGCCAATATAAATTTGTGGCTAGTACTTCTTCTTCTGTGTTCATCTCAAGATGTAAATGCGTTGTGCCCGTTTACAGCATGGCTGTGATATTTGCTCTTTTCGGCTGACACATCTGACTTCTGTAGGCATTTGTTGACCGGGTTAGCCTTCCCAGTGCTTGGCTAGTACTACACCTGTATGTGCTGCATCAGTCTCAAACTCATGATACAATTTTGTTTTTTAAAAAACATTTTTATTAAGTCTGCTTTTATTTGTTTGTCTAATACATTTTTGTGCGTGTTAAATTTTTTTATACTGTTTTGTTATAAGCTGTCGGGCTGACATTTTGCACAGGCTAGATAAGTAATTAAAGCTTATTTCATAATTTGTTCACCTTTGCTTATCCGTTTGCTTAGGTTGTAGATATATTTCTTATTTGAACAAAGAAGACACAAACAATAGATTGCACAATTTATTGCCTGGCATATTTTGCTGTATCTCATCAGGTGCATACTACAGTAACAATTACATAAATGAAGCAAATAAGTGAATCCTTCATAACTGAAGTACAATTTCAACAACGATCAAACATGACTGCCTGTTTTTACCAGGGCAGCCGTAAAGAAAGAACCATCTCTTTCTGAATACAGAGTTCCGGGCGCAGTTGACAAATCGTGCAAGCTTCATAAAATCTTATGAATAAATTGTGCAATCTATTGTTTGTGTCTTCTTTGTTCAAAATGACAATGGGGAAACATTGCTTTGGTTTATTTCTTAGTTTAATTGCTCTAACTTCTGTGAAGATTTAGTGACAGTGTAGAGATTCAGAACAGAATACAGAATGCAGGTTATTTCAATTAAGACAATCTAACAAAATTCTGTTAATGGAATCTACAGTATACAAGTGTGAACAAATAGCACAGCAAAATTAGTGAAACCAAACTGTCTATCCAACAAGTCTGATTTAAGAAATCAGTTTAATGTTTGTTTGTCAGTCTTAGAAAGCCATAACCGAGGTAGAAAAATGGTGGGGGAAAAAAAGAAATAGACACCTGTTTTACACTAGGTATGCCTTTAACTGTGAAGCTAACAGATATTCTGGTATTTATATATTTCTTGCCTAAAATATCATTATCAAGGTCATAAATGGACAAGTCACCATTATTATACAGCCAGACCAAATAATCTCTTTGACAACCCTTAATGATGCCACACATGGAGAGTATCTCCAGCCGCCTCCTTCTGCTCCATTTCCTTTGCCATTCATTGAAAACTTTGAAGGTTGGTAGACATATTGTGAAGTATGCACGTGTGTGCACACACACGCATGCACCAATTTTCAGAATTATTTATAAACTAATTATATCAATAGGTAAAGTGGGGCAGACTTTTAATTTAAAAAAAAAAAACAACTTGGTTTCCAGGATGTCATAGCCTAAAATGGGTACCAGAAAATGTCCCGGAGAATAAAGATGGCTGGCATAATTGTCGACCTCATCACCCATCGAGTGCAGATTGGCTATAAAAATATATGGTCTGGTATCATATGTTGAAATATGCCATGGCATATCTTTATGTACTGCAGGATGAATAAGGCTTTAAGGAAAATGTGGCTTACATTTCTTATGGAAATAATATATTCATGCCATTTTTCATATGGTTGGCAAAATGGACATTCGGTGGTAGACTTGTATTTTTTAACCGACCAATCAGCACACGGTGGGTGTTATGGACAACATCATGCTGGCTGCTTTTACTTCCCGCTGAAGTCACAAACTAAAAAAAAAAAAAAAAAAAAAAAAAAAAATGAAATTAGTGGAAGACTAGGACTTCCAGCCAGTCATGAAATTTATAAGGTTTTGGTTTGAACAACATATGCCCATCATGGCACAAGAATAGTGACCCATAAGTGCTCCGTTCTACTTCTAATTCAAATCTGAGTCCAAAGAATCTCAGCGCAGTGCACAAACTTCTTAGCACCAGCAAGGATCCTGAGCTATTTTGGGTAGATTTTTAACTACAGCTTTTTGCCCAGGCTGTGCTTTTAGGCTACGCTTTTCAATTTCCAACTGCCAAGGGATATTTTTTTTTACGTCTGCAAGAATACATACGGGCATCCGGTCTTGCTACCCAGAAACCAGGGGAAATTACCACAATTCTACATGAAAAAAATCCCAGTCTTCACACCCAGTACCTTCAGCACTCGTGGCGGATGCCATGCCTCGAGACCACTCAGATGCCTATGAAATTCATTAAAGAGCAACAGATGAGTTGGTTTGGCCATCTGACAAGGATGGCCAGGTACCAGCATCTACAGAGAGCCACTGTGAAGAAATATAATGAACACAGTGCTAAGTGAAATCCACAGAAATATGGAATGATGGCATCAAGAACCGTCTTAGAGGGAAGAATTTGTAAAACAGAAAAAATAAAGGGAACATATGCTAAACAGAAAGAATAAAGGCAACATAAGCAAAACAGAAAGAATAGGGTCAACTGGTGAAAATGAAAACTAACTTATACAACACATTAGAAGAAGCACACAGAGGATCTTTAATCTTTCCCCACCATCAACACTTGGCTGCCATGACTGGAGAAAGAGACAAGAAGATGGAGAAAAAAAAAAGATTGCCTAGCAATGAAATCATTTTTGCTGGTGTTTGCATGGTGCCTTATGTGTTGCCACTGGTGATTACCCTTTAATTAATGCATTAAAACTGATATGTATTTATTTGGTGCTAAATGCATTATTGCTGATGTTTGCCTGGTGCTAGATGTACTGATACTGGTTGTTGTTTAGTGTGTAATATATTAATATTGGTGATTATTTAGTGTTGAATATATTAATATTTGTGATTGCTTAATGTTGAATATATTATAAATATTGCTGATTGCTTGGTGTTGAATATAATAATACTGGTCATTGCTAAGTTTTGAATAAGTTAATACTGGTGATTACTTAGTTTTGAATAAGTTTATACTGGTGATTGCTTAGTTTTGAATAAGTTTATACTGGTGATTACTTAGTTTTGAATAAGTTTATACTGGTGATTGCTTAGTTTTGAATAAGTTAATACTGGTGATTACTTAGTTTTGAATAAGTTTATACTGGTGATTGCTTAGTTTTTAATAAGTTAATACTGGTGATCGCTTAGTTTTGAATAAGTTAATACTGGTGATTGCTTAGTTTTGAATAAGTTAATACTGGTGATCGCTTAGTTTTGAATAAGTTAATACTGGTGATTACTTAGTTTTGAATAAGTTAATACTGGTGATTGCTTAGTTTTGAATAAGTTTATGCTGGTGATTGCTTAGTTTTGAATAAGTTAATACTGGTGATTGCTTAGTTTTGAATAAGTTAATACTGGTGATTGCTTAGTTTTGAATAAGTTGATACTGGTGATTGCTTAGTTTTGAATAAGTTAATACTGATCGTTGTTTACATTGTGAAGTAAAGAAAGGACCCTTTTCATGCTACTGGTGAGCAGTGGTTCTTGAAGATATTCATCTTTGAGAGGAAACATAGACATATGGTACTAGACCCATATTTTTTATAGACCAATCAGTGCTCTGTGAGGAGTGGTCAACATCACTCCTGCCACTTTTACTTCCTAGAAAATTCCCTATGCTCATTTTAGATTGGGTCAACATGGAAACTCAGGTTACTTATGAAGATGATTTAAATGAAAACCTTAAAAGTTTGATAGAAATTACAGTAACCATGCCATAGTCTTGTAACCTTTCCATATTGTTTCGGCGTGCCTGACGTGGTTGTCAGCATTGGTCACTGAAGTTTTTCTATTTTGAAACTTTCTACCCCACTCTACTGGAACTTCATCATTGAATTTTTTGTCTTCTTTGATTAAATAAAAAACACAGGAGAAAAGAAGGCTGATCCTCTTTGGTGCATGTCAAAAGTGGGGTGGCCATCTTTAAACTTTTTTTATGGTGTCACCATGTTTGTCTCCACTGTGCTGTCATGTGCTTAACAATCTTGACATCCTTAACAACAATATTGACAGGTTACAAGACATTTGCATGTTATAGTAATTTTGACCACACTTTTAATGTTTAATTTGAGGTCCCTGATATGAAAAATTTCATCCTGATTGGAATTTGAATTCAAGACCTTCAGCCTGGCTTTTTAGAATGAATGTGTAAATAATCTTATTGTTTTTTTTTTGGTGGTGTTTTTTTGTTTACTAGATTATCCAGTATCATCTGAGCCATACACTATGGCCCCACAGCAAGGATCTTATGATGTGGTTGATGTTGGTGGTGAACATGGGAAGGTGATGAGACAGATGGTCCTGCAGACACCCATTGCTTGGTGTAGTGGCACCCTTAATTATAATGGCACTCTGAATGTTGTGGGCAGCTTTAACTGGTACTTATAAAATATAGCTATTTGTTTTGTAATTAACTCTTTTAGTCCCAAGCTCCCCTTGTGGGTTTCAGGGCCCCATTGTGGGGAAACAAGAATAGACCCACTGTCTCCCTAACAAGCATGTTGTAAAAGTCGACTAATTGGGGACTTCCTTAGAAGTTGGAGTGCATCTGCCCGAGCAGCAAGAAACAACCAACTGCACACAAGTAAGCCAGTAAAATGGATGTACACGCAAAATTCAGATTCTGGCACAAAGCCAAAGTCCAAATGGATGAACAACCAGGACTTTCCTCTGGAGCTTTCAGCCAGTGAACAAACAAGAAGAAGGAGGAGTCCCAAGCAATGCCTGATGTATGAGTGGCTCTACAAGAGACACCCCGACTGTGTGCATGTGATACATCCTTGCCTTGCTGACTATTGCAGGTAGGCTAAAGGTGCTGCAGGCTCAGTCATACCTCAGAGTAGCTGCAGACAGGGAACACCCTCTGTATGAAGCTTTGGCTGCAGGCAAGGGTCAGAGGCTGAAAATGGGAAAATCGTGGATGGTTCAAGCAGAAGACACAATAAGACAAGTATGCATGCTGGAGAACATTCGGCAAGGAGAGGTGTGGGTCAGTGTACCAGCGGGAAAGTCTGACCTGTGTAGGGTTATGATAACATTGGGCCAGGTGTGCAGAGAGTGGCCAGCGTGTGCTACGGAGGATGGAGTCCAACAATTCACAACAATTCAGGCTCAGGTGATCTGATTATCTATACAGATGGTTCAGTGTTGAGAGGAAAGAGAAATGCCTGGGGGTTCGTAGCGAAAGCCAATGGAAAATCTTTAGTGCAAGACAGCCTAGCATATGACACCATAACATCTAGCATGAGAATGGCGGTGGAGGCGGTAACTGCAGCTCTCCGGTGGCTAGAGAACAAGATGCATACACATGTCGTAATTGTTAACAGACTCTGAAATCATGCTGAAAAAGGTGAAGACAGGGATGCTTCGAGCAGAGGGGCTAGCTTCAATGGAAAGGTCACAGGTGGTGAGTATACTTTGGATCATTTCTCCTGGCAATGCCGGCGTAGTGGGTAATGAACAGGCAGACAGATTGGCTTGATCCACACCACTGGGTGGTGAATTGATACATGACTAGGCAAATGTGGTCAAGGCCCTTTGGGAACAAGCAATGGAATCAGTAGAGAAAGAAGGTTATTATGGCCTGGAGAGAATGAGGCACCTGGGTGTACCCAGAGGGTCTTGTTGGCTCACTACACTCAAAGGAAAGGCAAGACGAACTTTTAACTAGATTGTGACCGGTACCATCAGTATTGGAACTCTGTGCTGGCTGCTGAAGATGAGGACGGAGCATTCATGGGAATGCCCAGAGTGCTGTGATGTCAATTCTTGACTCAACTCAACTGGCTCTACCTAATAGCAAAATGTTGTGTCTTAAATTTAAACTCAAGTCAAACATACTAAAAAGATATCCAGATACCAAACGGTATTGAATTTTTTTTTTTTTGCTGCTTTGTTCCTTCAAAGTCGGAGTACATCTACTTGAGAGGCAAGGAACACGAACTACACGCAAATAATCCAGTAAAATGGATGTACATGCAAAACTCAGGCCCTGGTACAAAATCAAAGTCCAAATGGATGAACAACCAGGACTTTCTACTGATATTCACAGTTGGTGAACGCAAAGAAAAAAAAAGGAGACTGCTGCTTTGAAAGTAATGCATTCATAATTTTTTACGATGGTTAGAAAAGTAATGCCTTCATGATTTTTAAAATCATGGTTATGAAAGTAATATATTCAAGATTTTTTACCATCGTGGTTTCTCTGCTTTGGCATCTCATGTGAAACCTTCTAGTACTGAAAGTGTTGATGACTGTTTTGAACATGTTTTTGATGTGAGGAGAGTTTCTTGTATTTTAGACAATAATTATCTCTTGTGTGTTCTGGGGTCTCATGGGGGAGGAGGAGGGGGGGGGGGAATTGACTTCTCAGCAAGAATGCCATAAAAGGTGACTAATGACAGTTTTGCTAATTTGAACGTGGTGGGCTAAAAGGGCAAGATATCACAGCCTAGCTGTAAACCACAGCATGCCAACTGCTTTTTTCAGGGTGGGGGCTTTAGAAGAAAACGTTAATAATGTATACCTTCAGCTTTTTGTGTTTACTTCTTAGTTGATGATTATCATTAGCGTACTACTTCCTTTGTGCGTGCTGCATCTGACCATATTTACCAAAATCTTTTATCCACTATATTGGCAGTCTGGTTGTACGTAGCCCCAGTCATAGTTATAAGGGTCTGTGTTCATGTTTAATTGCCTGTAGTTTTAAAAAAAACACCTTTACTGCCTGTATTTACCACTTTCTTTATGGCAGCGCAGGATAATTTAGGATTATATTCCTGCCGCAACACACACACACGCACGCACACATATACGCATGCATACACACGCATGCACACGAACACACAATAAACCTTTGATCAGTTGGTTTGGGTGCGCCTCCCCCTCCCCACCAAGCTGCTATCTAAAGTTTTACCATAACAAGCTGAGATTTAAAAAAATCTTAGTTATGGATGGCAAACAAACAAGGTAGACCCCAGATAGATGGCAGACCAACAAGGTAGACCCCAGATAGATGGCAGACCAACAAGGTAGACCCCAGATAGATGGCAGACCAACAAGGTAGACCCCAGATAGATGGCGGACCAACAAGGTAGACCCCAGATACCCCATTAAATCTACAAAGCAAGTTATAATTAGGGCACCTGTAACGGCTGCAGCAGGTGTCACCTGCAGTTCTATTCAGGTAAGGACTTCATCTTTCTATCACCTTAGGAATTAGGTAGGATGAGAGAAGGAGAGAGATATTATCACAGCAGAATAGTAACATGTCAGATATATGTTTCTTTTTTGTAATCAGGACCGATATTACAATTTCTACTGATATCTTGCTTGGAGGCGTTAATGCATCTGATGGTGCTTTTATTGGAGTCAGAATTAACAATGGAGGATGCACCACATATGCAGCTATGGGATTATTTTTCTTCACCTACCCTAATGATGGCCGCTTCTCACTTACAAGTGACGTCTGTAAGTCTAACTATATGTATAATCTATGAAATGTTAGACAAGTCACTTCAGAGGTCTTTGGTTTGAATCTGCAATGGGCAGATATTTTATAATTAATTGACATTGGCTACCAGTTTGATTCAGCCTACAATTGGTACCAGGAAATGGCTGAGGAAGTAAAGACGGGCAACATGATGTCGACCACATCACCCATTGAGTGCAGACTGGTTTATCAATATTTTAGTCCAGCATTAAATTCCTGATCTACCGATGGTGTGAAAAGGCCACCCCCCCTCTCCTCCTCCCTCTTTAAAAAAAAACTTCTCCTAACAGCTTGTTTGGAACATGGCGCATGAATATCCGTATCTTTTTTTTCTTCCAACATTTTTATTAAAGCATATATTTAATAATAATTTAATAAGTGCACTAATGAGCACTTCCCTATAAATTATACTCCACCTCGATACCACAAGGTACAAGAGGATCAAGATGAGATAAGCTATGCTTGCAGCGAATAGAGGAAATGCAGTTGTGTGACAGAATAACTTATATGCACTCAACTCTTTCAGTCGCAAGCAACACCTGATATATGAATGACTTTACCACTTGATTTATTTACATGGCATAATGTGTTGATCTCTTAACTTTAACATTCAGTGAAAACATACTAAAGAATCCTGGCTTTCCCAATAGTTAAAAACCCTGTTTATATTGCCACTTTGAAAGTAATTCACTCATGATTTACCCTGCCTTCTCCTGTGAAATCTTCTGATACTGATAAAGTGAATCAAGAAGTGAAGAAACGAAGCTGGTACATGATAGGACACACAGTAAGAAAATGTCATATTGATTTAACTAGAATATCCATGGACCACCGAGTTGAAGAAATAAATGGAGACAAAACATATACATTGGGCATCAGACTAGGGTTCATGAAATGGGGAGGACTTGAGTTTAGCTGTAGAAAGTGGCAAAGACTAGGGTTGCCTGGGAGAGTTGGGGTGTTTGTGTTCCAGTTAGGAACTAAATGTTGAATTAAAAATCGACATCGCAGCACTCGGGACACTCTTGTAAGTGCTCCGTCCTCATCTTCAGCAGCAAGCAAAGAGTTTCAATTCCGATGGCACCATTAGCCATCTGACTGTATATCCGTCTCATCCTTCCCCTGAGTGTTGAGCATCAACCATATCTTTTGGTAACTCCTTGCGGCGCCATTCTCCTCAGACCGTAATGATCTATCTGCGCATTCGCAGTTTTCACTTGTTCCCAAAGGGCCCTCACAATATCTAGCTTGTCATACATCAATTCCCCACCAAGTGGTGCAGAGCCGGCCAGTCTATCTGGCTGCTCATTTCCCAGGACACCAGCATAACCTGGAGAAAATATTAGGAACTAAACTAAAATGATAGGAACTAAATGGTGGAAGAAAGAAAAAGATATCTACTAATGCATATCATGTGTTTTAACTTTGTTATTCAAGCTATTTCATTAATCTGTAGTGTCGTTGCTTCTTGCACAACATTTCATTGTTTCATTAAAAATTCTCTGAATACAAACTACAGATTACGAACTACTGCAGTCTGTAGGAAAATAAACAATTTCTGAGGTATCATCTAGTGATTACATGTAATTAATTTGTAAAAAGTACAAAATTTGATGTTTTGGGACACCAAGAAGAAGAGCAAATCACACATTGTGTGTTCCTTGGGGGTGAAGGAATTACAGGCTTAGAGTTCAGTAATGATGACTTAGAACTTAAAATTTCCAGTCCAACGATACCTCAGTGAAGCCTGTAAGTCAATTCTAAGCAGAGATGTTAACATTTTAGTGGCGGATACCACCATAGACAAATTTTAAATTAACCTAAAAAAAAAAAAGAAGGTGTTGCGACCCAGTATTAGTCTCATAATAAAAATTAAAATGGGAACTATATTTATCATTTGTAAAACTTTAAATTGTTTAAAACAATATTTGCATTTGTCTGTTTACATTTTTCTGTTACAGTGGGGAAAAATGTGATTGTATCAGGACGAGAAAGCGGAGTTATAGTACCTGGCTGGAATACATTGACACTCTCTGTTAAGGTTAACTGTTTTCTCATATTTCATATGTATGTGTACATTTGAGTAGAAAGATTTTATGTGAGTTAATGTAAGCAGGTTTATATTTATGTGGATGAAAGTATGTATATGTCTATGAGAGTGTGTTTTTGGACACACGTATACTTCAGATGTTATGTCAATTTTTTAACAGACCTTGTTTTAGTGGTAGTTTGGACACAAGAATGCCTGGTAGTAGACACTTGAAATAGTCATTTTGTTAGGTATTTATTAATGTTTTATTTTTCATGTGATAAAAGGTTTAGAGGTGACTGCAGTTGGACTAGGATTAATAAATTATACATTTACTGAATCATGATTAGGAGGCTAGGTGACAGAAAAAAATGGTGGGGGGGGGGGGAGGGGGGGTTGTAAAGGTGGAACATGAAAACAAATGACTGTTTCAACCAAAGCCTTAATCAACTAGCACTACAATGAGAAAGGAGAAGAAGAAGAGTAATGGAAACCAGCTACCACAGGGAGGAATCAAGTGAATAACTTTTATTCTTCTCCTTGATAAAGGTCCAAGATTTCATTTATTTCATTGACTGTTCCTCCCACCCCCGTATTTCCAGCTTTCTAGTCTTAGTTCAGTTAATTACTTATATTTTTATATTTGAATTCTTCTCTTCCATCTATCTGAATTCCTATTTATTGGAAGTACAGAAAACCTAATTATAGAAACTCAGAGTTCTGTGTGTGTGACTTCAACATACATTTGTTAGTTTACTTCCTGTAGACATGTTTCCTCAAAACTTGCAAGCCCCGTTTATCTTTTCTCTTAGGCAGCACATTTCTTAGTAACCCTTTACAGTTTTCAAATACCATGGTCTCAGACAAAAGCAAAAGCAGCTTGCATATTTAACCTCTTTGGTTTTGTTGTGTCTGAGAAGATTGGATATTTGTGAACTCACTCACAACAGATTAAAAAACAACAACCATATAATTAAAAACCAGTTGTTTATGTAAACTCTCAGCTTTTCTGAGAGCAAATTTTCTACCACCTGACCTTGAGGTAGACATTAAAGTCTCCCAGCTATGAGCTTCCAAATGAATGGTCATTTTTATATTGAAAATTTCTGGTATGACTTTAAGTACTGCATTATCCCCCCCCCCCCCCCCCCCCCCCCCCCCCAATATTCTGTATGATTGTGGTATCAGGTAAATAGATTATATCTTCTTCTGTATGTTTTCTCTGTTTTTACCTTTATACAACACATACTTTGTCAGTGGTTTTTCAGTTAAGAAAGTCACAAGCCTCTGTAAAGACTGTGGTGCACTGCATATCCTCTACTGATCCATGCAGCATAGTTTCCACAGGAGTGCAAACTGGCAAGACCTGAGACCTCTCTGCTGCATATAGAAAGAAAATCTGCAGCGCATATTCAGTATTCATGGGCACCTGCCTACATAAGGCAAAGCTCTGAGTTCTCAATAAATTATCTGTGGATATGGCTGCAGAGGCTTAATAATGGTCTCTTGCTTTCGTGTGTGGAGTTTGATTGGTTTTTTGGAATTGTGTTCTGGTTGGGAGGTATTACAACGGGTTCTAACAGCTGCCTTCATCTGGGTTGATTTTTCTCATAAGTGCACCCTGAATCTGGCTTTTCTATATTGTTCTCAGTTTTAGCTTCTGGTTTCTGTGTCAGCCTTGGGTCAAAGGTAACATCTAAATTAATTGATTGAAAGGTGAGGGAATCAATTTCATTGCAATGGGTTTTATTCTGTTTAGCTTGGTCAGTGTATGGAGATATTCAGACCACCTGCAGAGTTTCATACAAAATATAAATTCCATAATTCTGTGACAACCTCATGGAATTTTGCTAAAAGATTCCACTCATGAACCAAGCGCAGACATCTCAAAATGAACCAACAATTTCTAGAGTTAAAGGCAAATGACATGACAGTTTCCTCTTGGAGACGTGTGTTTGGTACTTGGAACCTGGTTAAAGGATTTCACTTATTCCATGTATAATGTGACAGAGCAGCTGGCTGAGCAGTTAGAATGCTGAGCTGTTATGTGGGAGACCTGAGTTTGAATCCTCGCTCAGATGATGGCAGTGTTTTCATCAATAATAAAAATTAAAATGCTGACCTACACAGTTCATGGCGACAGCACTAGCCATGCTGCTGTACATGTTTGGTCTCTAGACCAGCTACATGTCTCATGAGTGTTATCAATAAAACTCACTTGTTTTGCTTGTCTTACCTGGCGTTCTGTCTTCTTTTTCTTGACTTCTTCTTTTGCTGCTGCAGATGTCGAGAGAGATATAAGTTTCTGCTTCTTACTCTTCTGGGTTCCTCAGCCATGGACACATTGTACTTTTGTAGAGTTTCTCTGTTGTTATCTTTCTATTTTGTTCTTTTCCTACCTCACGCTATGTGTCCCTCTTCTCTTTTGGTATATGCCTTCGATGGTATGGCAACACAAGGCATTCTCTCTAAGTGGGCAAATCATTGTTTACTGTCTATGTATGTAATTTAATATTGGTTCTGTGCCAACATTTTATTTTATCTGGTCTGGTCACTCCTGCAGCCTTTCTCTGGTATCTCATTTCCATGGTTACATTCTATAACCACATAATTTCTTGACATTTTTTTCAGGGCACAGTGGCAACTGGGATTTGCAATGGAGTGGAGCTGTTTTCAGTGCTTGTCCCAAGTTTCCCTGCCAATGGCTTTGCTGGTGTTGGCACTGATATTTATGGATATGCAGACTTTGACAACATCCAAATTACCAATGCTGCGGATCCATCTGCGAGCAAAAAGAAGAGCAAGGCTCTATACTTTCAGAAGGAAAGCCATGACGTATCTGCTTAAATGTCAGTTTTGAATGCAGTGACATATTTTTAATACAAGTAATGTCAATGTCTATTTTAATAATGTGAGTGAGTTATTTACAATAAAAGTAATGTTGAAGTCTGTTTTAATCATGTGAGCGAGATACTTAAAATAAAAGTAAATATTTATATGTTTAAAAGGGAAACAAGTTTTATCCAACTGTGTTCTTTAAAAAAATTTGATGTCAAGGGGGGGGGTTTTGTTTTCATAAACAGCTCCAGCTAGTTTGAACATCTGTGATGTTGAAGCTGCAAAAGTTGATGCTACCCTTGAACATTTGGTCTTGCTAGAGAATAGAAGGGGAAAGGGGAGGGAGATAAAATGAAACCATTGCTCTTTCATCTCCTCGCCTTTAAGTATATTTTCTGGAGGTTACGTTGCTCTTGTCAGAGTTTCGGTGCCATTTGATCTTGTTTTTTACAGCCTATGCAGGCTATGTGTTTTTAATTTTACTGCTAGCTGGTTAAAAAAAAAATTGAAAATGATTGCCTCTTCTGCTATTAATTTTATCCTTTTATTCATATTGCCTAATTGCTCTCTTCTTGTATGAAGACCAAAAAAAAAACATATCGAACAAGTTTAAGATTGGATAAGGATGGAAAATAAACCTAATCCCCACCCCCTGTACCCCCCCCCCCCCCCCCCCCCTTTTTTTTTTTAAAGAAAGAAAGCAGTTATTTCTTTGCTCTGTTTGTATTTAGTAATGACTTTCCTTCATTTAAGAAAATCATTTTTGCAAAATATAATGACCCTTAAATATAAAAAATCCATCTTTTTAGTGAGTTGTGCGGGCCACGATGACACAATAGATGGCAGGCTAGCCTGTCTGCTAGATTGTTATAAAAGTGAAAAGGACTGCAAATTTCTGTTACTTCTTCTTCTAGTTTATTTTGAAAGCATTTCAGAGAAATATAAAAAAAAACATTTATTTTAAAAACTAAATTGCGAAAAGTTGCCGTCTGTGGCTTAGGTGTTGCAAACGTGCTTTGTAATGTCGGGGTGCCGGGTTTGATCCCTGCTGCGAACAGTTTGTCTTGCTATAGTTTCGACCATGGTACCGAGAGCTGACCCCCCAGAAAGAAATGGCAAACTATTGGACATAAATTTGCCTAGAAAACCACAACAGCTAGAAAGTGCTGGGGTTGGTTCTGCAACGTCCTGTCCAAAATTGCGAAAAAGGTCATTTTAAAATATTTTTATGGCGAAACATTATAACTGTCAACTCTTACCTGTGCTCAGCCCTCCTATAAAATGCATACATAAGGACACAACGGTTAGAAAGTGATGAAACCGAGACCCCAAAGATGTCAATATAAAGAAGAATAGTTGAATTCCATGAAAAACAAAAAGAGTCAAATACAAAGAGACTGGAGAGATGGAATGAAAAGAGTTGTTGACAGTATCAAGAAGAGACAAGGAAACATTATGGCTGTGGCAAGAGACACAAAACCTGTATAGAAACCCTACTGAAAGGAAACCTTGAAAGCAGGTTTTCAAGAGGTAGACCTGAATTCAAGTGAGATAATAACACAAAGGCATGGACAAACAGCTGAATGAGTGAGTGTACACCCAGGGCGAGAGATAGAGAGTGTTAGGTATCCATTGCAGTGCTTTTACTATAAAAATGACACCTGATTGATTGTTAGACATTATTCATTAAGCGCTTTTTACTTTATTTTGTATTTATACATTTTTTTTATTATAGCTCAATACAATCATTCCATTTTTTTTGTTTTAAATTAAAGGTTTCTTCCTTATTACATGTGTCTGTGTGTGTGTTTAGTATTAAAATGTTCAGCAATGTGTGCTATATGTTGTTTAAAAGTTCAGCAATGTGTACTATATGTTGTATAAAGATTCAGCAATGTGTACTATATGTTGTATAAAGGTTCAGCAATGTGTACTGTATGTTGTATAAAGGTTCAGCAGTGTGTGCTATATGTTGTATAAAGGTTCAGCAATGTGTGCTATGTGTTGTGTAAAGATTCAGCAGTGTGTGCTATATGTTGTATAAAGGTTCAGCAGTGTGTGCTATATGTTTTATGAAGGTTAAGCAGTGTGTGCTGTATGTTGTAAAAAGGTTCAGCAATGCATGCTATATGTTGTATAAAGGTTCAGCAGTGTGTGCTATATGTTGTATAAAGGTTCAGCAGTGTGTACTATATGTTGTATAAAGGTTCAGCAATGTGTGCTAAATTTTGTATAAAAGTTCAGCAGTGTGTACTATATGTTGTATAAAGGTTCAGCAATGTGTGCTGTATGTTGTATAAAAGTTCAGCAATGTGTGCTATGTGTTGTATAAAGGTTCAGCAATGTGTGCTGTATGTTGTATAAAGGTTCAGCAATGTGTGCTATGTGTTGTATAAAGGTTCAGCAATGTGTGCTATGTGTTGTATAAAGGTTCAGAAATGTCATGCACCTTCAGAAGATTCTCAAAAAACTTCAGAGCAGAGTAGCAAGCAATTATTGATTCAGCCAAAGTTCTATAGGAAAGAAAATTTAAAACAGCAAAATTGTTTTCCTTTGTGATTGCATGTCAGTCCTCCAGGTGACTCAGAGGAATCCACGAGACAATATGGAGATAGAACTGACCCGTCAGCTAAACAGACTCACAGAAAACAATCAGATCGTTCTCTAATGGATTCCGGCTCACTGCAGCATACTAGGAAATGTCTTAGCAGACAGACAAAGGAGAAGCAACACACCATTCATTGTCATTACTAGAAATCAGAATACTAATCACAGAAAAATTCAAGGAAATGTGGAGAGAACAATCCAACAGTAAACATCCACAAGAGGCCATCAGAGGACTCAACAGAAAGCAACATTCAACAATTTTCCGTCTAGGAGCAGGACACTGCAGGCTCAACTGCCACATGCATAAAATAAAGATTGTACACTCCCCACAGTAAGCCTGTCAAACAGGACCACAAACACCTGAGCACATTCTGCATACCTGCCCACTCTACCTACAACTTCGAAAAGACATCTGGCCTCAAGAGCAAAGTGTGCAGAGCAAGCTATTGGGAACCATGAAGGACCTGCTACTGACATGTGAGTTTATAGAGGCAACCCACCTGATGGTCTGATCTGAGCATACAAAATGGAATGCAAAGAAAAAGAAGAAAAAGAAGTAAAGGTTCAGCAATGTGTGCTATATGTTGTATAAAGGTTAAGCAATGCATGGCATGTGTTGTATAAAGGTTGAGCAATGCATGGCATGTGTTGCATCAAGGTTCAGCAGTGTCTGTTATGTGTTGCATAAAGGTTCAGCAGTGTCTGTTATGTGTTGCATAAAGGTTTAGCAGTAGTACGATGTGTGTTGTATGAAGATTCAGTGTTGTCTGCTATGTGTTCTTTGAAGTTTCGGCAGTGTCTGCTATGTGTTGCATAAAGGTTCAGCAGTGTCTGCTTTTTGTTGCATAAAGGTTCAGCAGTGTCTGTTATGTGTTGCATAAAGGTTCAGCAGTGTCTGCTATGTGTTGCATAAAGGTTCAGCAGTGTCTGTTATGTGTTGCATAAAGGTTCAGCAGTGTCTGCTATGTGTTGCATAAAGGTTCAGCAGTGTCTGTTATGTGTTGCATAAAGGTTCAGCAGTGTCTGTTATGTGTTGCATAAAGGTTCAGCAGTGTCTGCTATGTGTTGCATAAAGGTTCAGCAGTGTCTGTTATGTGTTGCATAAAGGTTCAGCAGTGTCTGTTATGTGTTGCATAAAGGTTCAGCAGTGTCTGTTATGTGTTGCATAAAGGTTCAGTAGTGTCTGCTATTTGTTGCATAAAGGTTCAGCAGTGTCTGCTATTTGTTGCATAAAGGTTCAGCAGTGTCTGCTATTTGTTGCATAAAGGTTCAGCAGTGTATTCTATGTGTTGCATAAAGGTTCAGCAGTGTCTGCGATGTGTTGCATAAAGGTTCAGCAGTGTCTGCGATGTGTTGCATAAAGGTTCAGCAGTGTCTGCGATGTGTTGCATAAAGGTTCAGCAGTGTCTGCGATGTGTTGCATAAAGGTTCAGCAGTGTCTGTTATGTGTTGCATAAAGGTTCAGCAGTGTCTGCTATTTGTTGCATAAAGGTTCAGCAGTGTATTCTATGTGTTGCATAAAGGTTCAGCAGTGTCTGCGATGTGTTGCATAAAGGTTCAGCAGTGTCTGTTATGTGTTGCATAAAGGTTTAGCAGTGTATTCTATGTGTTGCATAAAGGTTCAGCAGTGTCTGCGATGTGTTGCATAAAGGTTCAGCAGTGTCTGTTATGTGTTGCATAAAGGTTCAGCAGTGTCTGCTATTTGTTGCATAAAGGTTCAGCAGTGTATTCTATGTGTTGCATAAAGGTTCAGCAGTGTCTGTTATGTGTTGCATAAAGGTTCAGCAGTGTCTGCTATTTGTTGCATAAACGTTCAGCAGTGTATTCTATGTGTTGCATAAAGGTTCAGAAGTGTCTGCTGTGTGTTGTATAAAGGTTAAGCAATGCTTGATATGTGTTGTGTAAGGTTTCAGCAGTGTATATTATATGTTGTATAAAGGTTAAGCAATGCTTGATATATGTTGTGTAAGGTTTCAGCAGTGTATATTATATGTTGTATAAAGGTTCAGCAATGCTTGATATATGTTGTGTAAGGTTTCAGCAGTGTATATTATATGTTGTATAAAGTTTCAGCAGTTTATACTATGTGTTGATGAAGAATATTTGTGATATGTGTTGTATAAATATCAGCAATGCATTTTATATGTATAAAAATGATGAGACCTGATAGTGGACAGATTACAAAAACTAATGCACTTGTAACTCAGTAAAGTCCCTTCACTCTTCACTATTTCCAAATGGAAATATAAGTATATAATTGCATACTGGCAGGTTTTGCGTATCCTTTACGGGACATTGCAGAACCAACCCCAACGGCCCCTGGCTGTTGTGTGATTTTTCTAGGCAAATTTACACCCAGTAGTTTGCCATTGCTTTCTGCACGATCGGCTTTTTTGATACCA